GCCCTCGACAACAGCGGGAATAGGCGAGGGAGCGAAAAGGGCCAGATAGGATAAGGAAACGATAGAATAATAATTATGAAAGGAGGGCAGGAAGAGGAGAAAGGAAGATTGAGTGAGGAAGGATTGCCTGGCCGGTTGCGGCCGGAGGAGACACGGGCGGATGATGCTTACTGCCTTGGGGGTTAGTCCTGCTTATTCCTGCTTAGTCCTGCTTCGCCCTGGTTAGGCCCACTGCGTAGCGCCGAAAATTCATTTGCGCCCGAAGTCCAGGTTTGCGTAAGAATGGAGTCCTTTACGAAGTCTTGCTGATGCTCTTTTCCTCCTCCAGTTTAGTTGCCGGTTATTTTAATCTATGGCCGCGCAGTCTGGACCCTGAACGCCTTTTTCGCTGATTTGGGCCCCATCACATCTTATTCTTTCTTCTTTTCTTGCCCCCCTCTTGACTCGAATCTGTCGTCTGTTACTTTCCCAGATCTTCATCTTCATCATCCTCAAATCTCAACACCCTGCAACTGGGATCCACTTGTCCCCATCTCCCTACCAGTACCTCGTTACATCTTCCTGCTTTCCGCGGACCCTTTCAGTCTTTCCCCCCTCAACCCTCGCCGCATGCGTCGTCCCGAATCCGTGGCTGTTGCCCTGTCAAACTGACCTGTGGGTATCTTCTGCAGCACACTATTCCCAATAATCTGGGGCGCCTGGTTCCAAGCCCCACAATGCAACGGTGCCGTGATACCTTCACATCCAGGGTTATTGCGAGGGTGTAATCCTGGGGAAGTGTCTCAGAGTTATTGACTTTAGTCGCCTCCTTGGATGACTGATGTATCTCTGAAATCGCCCCAATCTATCGGTCGATTTGCTCGCCACTCAACAATCTAACATCTACTTGACATGAATTCTAAGTTTACATTGTTGATATCGTTTGACACATTCCTCTGATTTGAGTTTAAAAGCCGTGGATCCACGGATCGCTCTGGATGCCGGATGGAACCGATCTCCTTCATCCCCGGGCTGATCGGTCATTCCAGGGGCAGGGAGGAATGTGTCCATGACGCCACCAGGACCTGACCCAGTGTGGCTCACCCGGTGCAGATAGGAGTAGAAGTACGGCTACCTTTAGCGATACGACTCCGCAGCATGCGCTGAAGCAGCTGAACGAGCTCACCCCAGTGACCACTCCAGCGGTGAGCAACACAGCTGACTTCAAGCAGATGCCCCGCGGGCATTTTAGCAAGCCAGAACAATTTCTACTAATGCGGAAATGATAAGCAAGGGCCATGTACCTCCTGATCGATCTGCGACCTATAAAAAGATCATTATACGGTCGGAAAAGCCAGGATGACAGATCCCTTGCTCGATCAGGCATCTGCCTGTTTCTGGAACAGCTGGCAAGAGCATTTAGGACTACTTATGGCCTACTAGGACCCCATATGAAGTTATCAGATACAGGCAATGCGCATACATCATGATTTTGCTGCAATGGACTGATATCTGCGACTGCAGTACAGTGATACATCGGTTGATAATCCATCTCTTCGACTAATACCTTATGACATAGATTGCAACATTGCATTGGTACATACGGGTTAGCACGAGCACCTCAATGCAGATAATCTGATACAGGAAAACGAAAATCCCCGATAGCTTTCGATCGGATTATCAGAGATGAAATGCCAATCCCTTTCTCCCGCAGATATTGATCATCATTTTCCGATGTTGCAGCCCGAATGCGAAGAACCCCGGAGAAATCTAGGGAACCTGGCGCTTTGAGCTCGAACTCCGCTTCGGTCGCGGACATGCGCGGGGATGCTCCCACTATGCACGTATAAAGGGCCACATAGGATTGCAGTCTATCTTTAGGCACGAGCAGCTCGATGCCCGCAATCCCCGTTGCGCCTGACGGGTGATCAACGACAGAAGACTGATCATACGGGACGCGCAGAACCCTGTCCGTGACATCATGGCAGAAGAAGGGTGCATCTGTGCGGCCTCGAGGATGGAGATCTGGCGTAGTTGATTGCGTATCGGAATAACGTGCCTTCAGTAGCTTCCAACGGATATCAACCCCACTGGGTGTCTGACGTCCTCCGTCGATCGGCTGCGAGTACGTCACCCCCAAGCTGTCATCAGAGATGGTATCCAGCGCTTTGACTATACAGTCATAGTTATCTTCGGCCGAGACAGGTGCCAAAGAAGTAAGCGCAAAATCGCCCGGTCGGTCCCTCCAGTTTTCAGGTTTGGTTATCCAGTTAAGGAGTTCCAGATAAGTTCCGTCGGGGAAGATGATTAGTTTGTTGCGACTCAGACCACCTGCCGGGTATAAGCATGTGCAAAAAATCTTATCCGATAGTCAACAAGGGCCAATTGATATCTTACCCGCATGAGTACCACCCTCAATGATGGTAAAGTGATCAGTCAACCATTTGGACGGCGACTCGAACTCTTCCTTGCTGAATTGTAGGAGCAGGTGGTCCAGATAGACCTTTTGTAAGGACATGATTGGATGATGTGTTCTATAATAGAAAGACCGACTCTGTTGATACGGTGATCGACTTCGAGGATTCAAGAATGAAAGAGAGAGATGGATCGTCGGCGGTGGCATGCGGGGTTCTTGCGCACGCCATGATCCCCGCACATGTTGCATTAATCGATGAGCTACGTCTAGTAGCATGGAGCATTAGGCCGCATTTGATGATACTGAGCTCTGATCTCGACATAATTTGATGATATTACTTCATCTACAAGAGCATATGATATCAAGTTGATTGGGAAATTGCATTCCGGTCGGGCAACAAGCAATAGCTGAATAGGCTTCTGAAGACGACCACGAGGTGAACAGAGTAAAAGCTCTCTATTTCTCGTATCACTCCCATCACGCCCATCATAATCATGACATTATCATGAAAAGGGAGCATGTAAATGATAATATGACAAGAGAGGCCTAGGACTGTATACTTCTTACTAAGAAATAATCAACAAAGGTCTGACAAATGAAGCTGTACAAAACAACTACATACCATATCTAATAATTGAACCACGCAGATTTGAACTCTATCCATCAAAATAATAGATATTGCTCATCGATATCCACTACCCTCAAACTTCAATGTAGGCAACATCGCTGGCGACCATTTTCTGCCACCCTGCCCAAAAGCGGTCAAAAAACATACAGATTCCGGGTGAGTGTTCTGGGAACTGGAAAGTCTTAAATCCGCTTAAATCCGGGGGTTTCGCAGCGAGGTTCGCTAGGTTCTGCCGCTTTGAGCGGTAAGTATGGCGGTCAGAGTAGTTCCATGCCGCTGTTCTTACTATCTACTAAGGAACGTGGCTGGAGCACACTCAGCCAACCTACCTAAGTGGTACTACGTACCGCTTTCGGCTTCTCTTCTGCCTCTTTGATATTTTATGTCGACTATAGTATTGGCTGGATATTTGGTACTGGCAATGCTATTGCTTGTTCTATGATAGCTAGGGGCTGCCTATCTACCTAATAAAAGAGTTGATATACATGCTATAAAGTAGGTCTCTATACTGAAAAATAATCAGTACCCCCAATAACCTAGCTCGAGAACTATAGAAACTGACCAAGTAACTTAAGCCATGATCAACATCAAACGTACGAGTATCTTCTCCCGCTTCTCTCTCTATTCAATCAGACTTTGCAATCCGTCCCGCTAAGTATAGCCAAGTTTCATTTAACTCATGGTTCGGTTCGCAGTGCCGATCACGGAGAGCATTACTTAATCCGATATTTTATTTTTTTTGCTTGTTTCTATTATACTTTTGTGCTGGAGCAAAGGACCATAACTTAAGCTACTTCTTCACTAGCAGATGTAGTAAGGACACTACCGCACTGCTTGTACCACCATGAATCATAAATTAACTAGTGAGGTAGAGATTCACTAAGTCGAAATAGAACATTAGTATGTGTCTCTCTTATCCGCAATGACCATACTAATGGTAGTATAATGAACAACTACCTACAACCGCATAATTTACGCCACAACAAATTCTGTAATTTTGTGAATAAAGTCTCCTATGTTTCAGACCAGCTGTAATGGCCCCTATGTGGGCACGGCATATACCAATTCTGTTAGGTATGTCCGGTTGCTCGGTTCTAGATTGATGAATGGTATGAGCGTAGAAATATAGACTCACTGCCTGAATAGATTTCTGTGAGTGTTTCAGATGAGGAAAACCCTGCACCGGTAGAATTGGGGATTGGTCTGAGGGTACAGGGACTGGATATAAGGTTACCCGGTAGTCGGGATCTTAGACTGGGAGGTATCAGTTTAGAATCATGGTGGGGAAATATAAAAGTTAGATAGTAGGTGCATATTGTTTGCGAAACAGTAGTCAGGCTAAGTTACTACTGCTAATGTTGCCGTGTATGGCTCTTTGTTAGGGACTGCTCTGAATTATGCTTAAGCTTCCTGGTAGGCGACGCATACAATGTGTGCCTATCAGAACGCCGACTCACAAACTTAGTATACCATAGCCTGATCGACATCTAAAACGCTAAGCTTCGTGATCGACGAACGCTGCCGGCCCGAGAAGCCGAAGAACATTGCATGGGCACCGTACCTGGACCCAATTTTGGGGCATGTCCGGAGAGAAGCGAGGCTAGATTGAACAGAGATGAAACTGTTAGCCGTTACATATTTGACTAAGACTGTGATCGAGTAGAAATTTTCGTAGGGTGTATTAGACGCTGGTACCATACTATCTAAAATTCTGCTAACTCGATGCAAGGTTGAAACACGGCAGGGCTGATACATCAAACCCATGGTTTGGTAGATGCAAAGTTTATTCAGTCTAGACAAAGATAGCACGAGAGCCTTCGGATGGAAATTCCGGATGAAGTTTTCTGCCAGTTTGTAGTTGAGAACTGGGCTGTTGAGGCCGATGATGCTCCGAATATGCGTGTCGAAAAATATAAAAGGGACGTTGAGAAGCCCGGCTATCGACTCAGCAACATCAAACTCACAATTAAAGAAGACCGGCTCTTTTTGACCTTTTCTTCATACTTGTTATCCTCATAATGAAGTTCTCTGCAGTTCTCTCTACCTTGATGGTAGCCGGCCTGGTTGTCGCGGCTCCTCCTGCTCCACGTATGTCCTGCAACAATCTGACATAGTTACCCTTAAGCTAACAGCCTCAGGCCCTACTGATATCCAACCTCACCACCACCATAACCCTCCTCCTAACGCTCCTCTTCCCAAACCCCACCACAACAACAAGCGTGACGGCCCAGAGCCTCCTTATGATGAGCCCACACCCGACGCTCCCAAGCCTGCGAATGATCCCCAGCCCCATGATCAGCCCAAGCCCATCCCTCAACCCTCTAAGGACGGACCCCTTCCCAACGACCCGAATGCCCCACAGAAGCGCAATGATGGACCGAAGCCTCCAAAGAATCCTCAGCCAAAACCTCAACCAAAGCCTCAGCCTAAGCCTAAGCCCCAACCTAAGCCCCTCGATGACAAGCCGCAGAATCCGCCTAGGCCCAACTAGGTGATGTGAGATGGTGTTGCTGGGATAGTTGTTGCATCAGTGGATGAGTGTATGATTGTTTAGAGGAAAAGTTGGTCCCGTTGTGATCTCTACGGGTAGATAAAAGTTAATCAGATAGAATAATGAGCAGAAGTTTTCTTCGATATATGCAGCTTCATTCAGGATTCATACATTGGATTCGTAATGCGTGCCGGAAAGGGAGTCGATGTGGGTTTACTCTGTAGAGAATACGAGGTTAGATTATGATACCGCAGACTGTACAACTATACGTGTGTGACAGTGGTAAGTAACTTCGAATTAGCATGTCAAATTTGTGTAGTATAGACCTAGACTTGAGTAGTAGAGATCTTGTTAGCGACTTTGTAGAATTCAGGAATTGTGAGAATTTGGTGCCAGGTCAGCCGATAAAACGTGGGCGTTCAACTTAACAAGACGCATTCATTTGAATAAGATATTTAATTATTTGTTATCAATGAAGAATGTCAATGAGAAATTTCAAAGACAATAAACTCACTCTATCGATGATAGCTCAATACTAGATCTACTAAGTATTAACCCAAGACTACTATTAGCTCAGTGGGTCACAATCCACCCTCCCGCATCTCCACCCGCCCTTCTCCTTCTTCCCCTCCATTCCTCCGTCACCGTCACTCTCCCTCTCTTCACCACACAACCATACCATGCACCCACAATGACAACTCCAACCCAAACCATGCCCCCAAACCTCAACCTCCAAACCCTCTTCACCTCCCTCCCCACAAAGAACTGGACCCTCCTCCGAGTCCTCAAAAGCGCAAACCCGCACGACATCAACGGCAACCTGCACGGCACCGCATCCTTCACCTCTCTTCCTGACACCACTACCACCACCACACAAGATCCCCCCGCGCCGCAGCGCCAACTCCTCTACACCGAGACGGGCACCCTGCCGCCACACATCGGACATAATCTCCAATGGAAGAAGAGTTATATCTGGAGGTTGAACTCATCCACAGCTACATCTACAGCTACACCTACATCTACAGTTAAGGATGATCTATCCGTCTGGTTTGTGAAAGTGGGTGATGAGAAGGTCGCGGATTATTTGTTTCATGGGATGGAGTTTCTTCTTGATAGTAATGAATCTGGGAGTGGTGGGGATGAGGATGAGGATGGGGGGGAGGAGTTTGTGAGTGCGCCGGTGCCGCCGCCGGCGGCGACTATACCCGGAGGGGAGCTGGAAACGGTGGTGGTTACGGCGAGGGGAAATCATCTTTGTATTAATGATATGTATCGGACGGCGTATGCGTTTCGGGTGGTTAAGACTGAGGAGGATGATAGTGATGGTGGGGATGGGATTGGGGAGGTGGTTAGTTGGGCGAGTAGACATGTGGTTAAGGGGCCGAAGAAGGATCAGGATATTGTGAATTATTATACGGTGAGGGAGGGGGTTTAGAGATTATAGATTGTGGAGGGTGAATATGTAGATTGATTCTGGTACAGCTACAGCGTGTATATAAAGTCTGGCCGCTTGTCTCCAAGCTTCTCGATCTCCTGTCTCTCCAGTCCTGCTATCCAGTGGTCTCGGTCTCCCCGACGGCGTTTCGCGTTCTCCCGTCGGAGGAGAACATACTGCACGAGTGATCCACCAAACAGGAACAGCACCAAATATGCCAGCACCGCCCCGTGACCCGGATAGTACTGAGGCGCGTCGCCGCCGCGGTAGATGTTAGATGATACCACGCCGTTCAGGTTGCCCCAGCCAATGACAATACCTAGCGTGACACCACGCTTGTATACACCTGTCACCGTTAGCCATAGTTCCCCACTATCATTGAGATGCATACCCTCTGCGTTGTTACTGGCCCAGGAAATCGTGTTCGAGATCGCGGGGTAAATGCCCATGGCGCCCAGGAATACCCCTGCATATCGCGCACCTGCGGAATTGGCCCCAAGAAGCAAGGAGAACCCAGCGATGCCGAGGAGTGACACTGCAATGTTGCAGATGCCACGTTGGCCGGTCCGATCTGCGATAAAACCGATTGCCACGGTGACGATAGCTGCCGCGGCATAAGGCGGGACACTGAGCAGCTGCGCCTGAATCGCGGTATAGCCTGCGCCGGTTAGATCCCTATCAAATCAGAGGAGTACCAAACAAACCCTATTACCGTTAGTACTGTATACTGTAGTCAACTTGTAGAGGACATACTAGCTCATTGATGATAGTCGGGGTAAATAGGGAGAATGCATATAGCGGCATGCATGAACCCATGTAGATGATCGCATTGAGATACGTCTTCCAGTCCTTCATACTGCTCCAGAAATAAGTCATCTCAAACTTCTCGTACCCGGCACTGGCCTGCTTGTCAGCCGCCAGACGACGCAGTACACGCTTGCGATCCGCTTCGGACAAGAATTTGGCCTGGTCCGGAAAGTCGTAGACCATCCATACGGACAGCACGCCGATGACGATCGTCAGTAGACCCTCAAGAATGAAGATCCAAGACCAGCCCGCCTTGCCTCCGATGCCATCCATCAGGGCGATCGCAGCCGCGAGCAATCCTCCAAATGACCCCGCGAGGGCAGCGGCGGAGAAGAAAATGGCCATGCGAACGCCAAATTCGGATCGTTTGTACCAGCAGGATAAGAAGTATCCAACGCCAGGAAAGAGACCAGCTTCCGCCAGGCCAAGGAACCATCGCACCTACTACTGTCAGCAGGCCAATAATTGCGCCGCGCGAACTCCATCTTATGAATCTCGTATAAGTATGCAGACACTCACCGCCATAATCCCAGAGAAGTTGTGTACGAGACCCATACAAGTCATGCATATACCCTGTCTCAAATCAGCGCAGATCAACCTGCGTAAGACCTCATTATCCATACCCATACTACCATTATAATCGGAATGAACACGCTAGGTCGCCAGCGCTTGAGGAGAACATTGGTGATAGGTTCGAAAATCGCGTATGACACGAAGAAGATGGTCAAAGAATCGTTGTACTGCGAGTTAGTCATATGCAAATCCCCTTGGAGACCAGCGAGCTTGGCATTGCCAACATTTGTTCTATCGAAGCCACATTAATTTCCCCAACGGTCATTGGAGCAATTGTGCATACCTATCCAAGAAAGAAATCAGGTACAGCAAACTCAACCACGGGATGAGCCGCAAATCAAGTTTCCACAGTAACGCACGATCCTGGTAATTGCATTAGTCCAGCTCAATATCCCTGTTAGTATTGACCAGGGCGGGTTACTCACGATCTTCGCCCTTTCCTCCTCACTCAAGCCTTCATCTGGGTCATCAAGGAAATCCAGTTGCGACTCCTCTGGCAAACCGTGAACTGTAGTGGCTTTTTCGGTATCCACCATACCACGGGAGGAACTGTGTATCGCTGGTTTCTCGTCGACCTGCGCCATTGTGATGTTGTGTGGCACTGGGAGAGATGGAGGTTGAGGAGCGAAAAGAAATCACTTGAGAGGAGCAGTGAAGGGAGGAGGGGAGGCACCAGTAGCGTTTTAAAGGGTGGGCTTCCGGCAATTGGTAATCCCATCATGAGCGTAGCTGCGCTGAATGACGATGCTCTTCGCGAAGGATCTAGGGTCAAGAAGCGAGGATAGACAGACCGATCAGCGCCCACGGAGCCAATGAGAAACCCATCATAATGATCGCCAAGGGTGAGCGTGAGAACGATTGGCCCGAGATAACTGGAGGAGGAACCCAAAAGTTAGTCGGGCCCAAACGAAGGGTTGTTCCCCGCGTTGGAAGTCTGCACAGGATGAAGCAAGGACTACCATGTCTGAGTCGGGTATGTGTGTGTTACCGTGGAATGCGCTAGCACGGCGATCAAGTTCCCTTCCGTATTCAGCTCGAGTAATGACATCGGAGAAGGTATGTTGTCTTGAGTAGTGTACCCGCGGATCAATGGCAATGGATGATGCGATGGTTACTGTGGATGGGTCAAAGCCGGGGGGAGCTCGGCTAGGAATGCTGGAGACCCGCCCCCATGCGGGGAAATTCTAGGCATTGCTTACTTGCTTACCAAGTCCCGGTTACTGCTGAAAGATCTCCATTAACGCCAGTAATGAAACGATATAAAGGCTAGCTACTGTACAGACGTGCGGAAAGACGAGACTGCTCTTCAATCCCAGATTCCGATTCGAGGTTGCCGCGCCAAAGGTCTTGCTGCCAGAAACCGGAGTTTACACTTTTGGAAGCTCGGATGGCTCTTCAAAAGCTTATAGGCGGCAGTGGCCCCCTTGATTGAGTGAAACCGAGCATAGACATCCCCGAGCACCTGTCCGTCCTCGATCCGTTCGAGATATTCTAAAAACGGCGACCGGCCCAAGACCCGGCGAATCTCCCCCTTCAGAGTATCTCGCACACCAGATATGCAGACACACCGCGTATGACCTTCTTTGAAAACCAGCCGTGCCATACTCGCCGCCATAGGATAAGTTGGAGTCGGGACTAGGGTCACTTTAGCCTGTGTCGCCCTCAGGGCAAGACTACCGCCGGAATTTTTGAGAAAGTCAACAGTATCTGCCTGGGTAACGAAGACGATGAAAGCGGTGTTTGACCCCGTGATAGATACAGTATCGAGGAAGTGCGCTGAGTAGATTTCGCCGGTAATTAGAGGTAAGAGTTGCTGCAGGGTCACATCTGATGGTAGATTCTCAATAGTGACGGCGCGGTGTACATCTCTGTCACCTTCAGCGGGGATATAGCGCAAGCCAAACTGGAACATCCAGAGCTCAGTTGGAGATTCCTTGCTGACAATATTCGGGCGGTATAACAACGCGTCGAGTTCTTCATCCGTAGTCTCAAAAACACTGGATCCTCGGATAGCCCATTTGATGGTGCCATCCCACGGCACGAGCACTGGTGTTTTCATGGTGACGAACGGCGGTTTCTTGACGCACACCAGACGGGTTAACCATGGAGGTCGAACTTGGGTTATAGTGGTAGTGGAATTTGAACGCGGACTCACTCTCTGGGGTTCCAGCACGGGAATAGACAGATTGTCGACGTGCTGGTCTATGAGCAAGCTCGTCGCTCTCTGTGTAGGGTCCTTTTGAATTGTGATCCGCACAACAGAAGGCGTTTTGATAGGTGACAATGGCTGCAGGCTGGGGACTTTGATGTCGTCCAGTCCGCTGTCCAGAAGACTGGAGAGCGGAGCAGTATTCTGAGCACAAGGATTCACTGGAGCCAGCGCGGTCCGCTCCAGCTGCAGACTATTCTTGTCCTTCTTGTGAGCCATGTCTTTCCGCTCGCACGTCTGAAGCATTAGGAATACATAAGATTCTATGCGATAGACCACAAAGCAAAGAAACACTATGGTTATAAGTATCAGGACTAGAATGGAGTCACTCTGAGGACCATCCTGGTGTGGCTGGGAGGGGCACCCTTCCATTTTGGGAAGTGGCGCTGGTAGTGGGCGTTTGGTGAAGTTCTTCACGTCACAGCTTAGTGGCGTGCTCCGTCACTAGGCAACCTCTCTTTTTGTTAGGTGTCAAGGTTATCGATGCGAGACCAAGAGAATTGTGTTGGGTGGAAGAAGTCAGAGTATTAATGGCCGTTATAGAGAATATTTCGCAGATCGCTACCGAGGTCTGTGGAAGAGAGAATTATGAACATTAGAAGGGGATAGAGTAAATAATGGCCTTTATATAGTTGTAGGATTCCTAGCAGATTTGCTACTAAGACATAGTATGCGGAGGGTAGAGTGAGGTCAAATAGATCTCGCTTCAAGGAAAGGTAGAATCATCTACTAGAGAGAAATCTGAAATCCTCGTGTGGCCATTCGTGCAAAAAGACAGACAATCACTTTTTCTGAGTATACAACGTGCCTTGGGTGGTGGTGGTACTACGACACTTGTGATGGGCGGCTCAAAGACCAACAGCTTCTACAAATGACCATCCCTTAACGGCCTCTGAATATGTACATCGTATGTTCAGTGAAGTCAGGCCTGCTGTCTGCGTTCGCTTCATATATGAGATAAACGCAGTCAGCGTGACGCACCATGCAGGTACAGATACAATACATGCACTTCACCCAGTAGCAATGGCTTATGAGCAAGAATGATGTACAGAATAACTCTACCTGCCTGGCTACCCTAGAAATTCGCCCTGAGCCAATGCGATCCACGGTAAGTCTTCGGACCAGCATCGCTGCATCAGCGTACGAGCGCTTTGCATCTAGGGACAAAGTCAGATATGTTTACTGGTTAAATAGCCACCCACTCACCTGTTTCATTCCTGTTCTTTCGAGAAAATCAAAGCGGTCTTGGATTTCTGCTCTTTGCGCGGCATCCCGAGCTTCGCAGCCCGCAGTAAACAATGGAAACAAAACCCCGACCTCTGCAGACGCACTCTGCCGGATGTCACCTATTGCCTTGAAGAGGTCTTTTTCGGCCCCCGTAACCGCCTCAGAAAAGGGCGACGCATTTAGCACCCGACGATGAAGGTGCAATAGCCCTGCATAACGAAAGGCCCGGTCAGTGGCTAGAAAATCGGTCTTGCTCGGACCGAAGTGCGCTGCATCAGCATAGGCGTAGGTTTCCAAAGCGCCAAGATCCGCTATCAAGGCTTCTGCCTCGAAGACAACACCTGGTGATGGTTCCCAGTCAGGAAGAAAGACCCCGTTCTCGTCGAAACGCTCGTTGTCACACTCATGAGTCAATCTTCCCAGCTGCATTAGAAACAAGCCAGTCTTGGGCGTAAACCCACTGAAGCAGTCAACACAATATTCGCCATGTGTTCCTGCATCAGAGCAGACCGCCAGAACAGATTGATATGCAGACAGTGGTGGTCCACTTTCCCGGCATGATAGAGCGCCCATGAGATCGATGTATCCCAGCCAGCGCGTGAGAAATGCGCCGACACGATTTCCAGGGTATGACATCTGCTCTTGTCGTGCCAGATACAGATCCCGAGCTAGCTTCAAGTGACTTTGCCATGTTATGGGCACTTCAAACGTGCTGGGAGATATGATTTTCAGAGAAAGAAGCATGATGGCAGTCGCAAGATGACTGTCGGTCACCTTCTCACGAGGATCCTCAAGCGCCAAGCGCAGAGTGGGAAAGACATTGCTCACCCAGTGTGCAATTCGGGTTGCGGGCTCAGGATGGCCCAGATACCGCGCCCGATGACTAGCGGAATATGCCAGCATCAGATTTAGAAGATTAGAGTCGCCAATTGCCACTAATCAGTTCATGTCAGTAAACGCGCTAAGTAAAGTTATCTAATGGTACGTACTGGTCGGTAACACCGAGATGAACGGGTTATTTTCGCAATCATGAGGGACCAGCATGCGACCGGTATGGTTGAGAAAGTGGTGGAAATACATCAAGTTAATTGGTGTCTTCACGAGTGACGGTGGCAACGGCGAAAGATACCGCGGTATATTGATTGGTACCGGCGATGCATAGTAGCTACTCTTGTTGCAGTCAGATCCATCGTACTTTGCATTCTCTGTATGCAAACCTTCCGAGTTCGAAGCGGAAGGTCGACTGTCCGAGTTAATCAAATCCAAAGCGTAGTTGATGTCAATGGCGGAATGATCGTCGTTCTTGTTGAGATCGAGATCCGGGCGCCCGCAATCCAACCCGTAATTGTCCGTGACCCTGGTCAGATAAGCTTGCCATCTCTTTTCCGACATGGAAACATCCTCCGGTTCCGATAGGCTCTGGCCTGCACGGTCAGCAGCATGGGAGACGTATCCTGTGCGAGAATACACCCTATCGGATTGGCTATCAGGATGCAGAGGATCGTTCATGATCTTGCTGAAGAAGTTCTCCGTATGGACGGCTGGACCCGCCTGCAGCGCTGGGGCCCCGTGAGCCAATCCTGACGAAAGCAAACTTGCTTCTGCCGACCCTGGCGATGCCGCATTCTGAGCAGAAGATGACGCATGTGACTGGAAATCTGCATAGATACTCATCACATCTGTAGACGAGGAATAGCTAGAAAACTCGGTACGAGATTCGGGCATGTGATTGGAGTCGGGCGGGGAATGATGGAGGTCCGATGTATGTCGGAGGAACGAGATGGGCCTCGATATCGTGGCAGAGGAAAAGTTAAAAGCCGCGAATGAACCGATAGTCGAGTTCGTATCTGCAGGCGATGGGTATGAGATGGTGTCCAGCGATGAAGGCACAGGCGGGGAGAAAGCGAGCAGGGTCTCGCTCGACGAGGATGTGGCTAAATCGGGGGACAAATCTGGCCATGGGGAGGTCGCTTCTTGATCTTGCGACGTAGCCCCCATGTCTACAGAGGTCTTGCCATTTGTACAGTTGGATTCATTATTTAACTGGCCAAAGGCAGTCGGAGTTTCATGGAGGATATCATGTAATCCTTTAGGACTGGTTGTGGATGTTCCTATTTCCATTCCCCCTGCAAGTCCGACATCCCATAGCAAGTCCCCTGCAGCTTGATCTGGCACAGTCGTTCCGTCTCGCATGGAAAAGGGTGTGTATGGCTGGACTGGACTCGGGGCATCCGGATGGTATTGGTTCGATGGCGAGAAACTGAAGGTGGCATAGTGGCCCGGTGGACTACTGGACTGAGAGCTGGGGGAGTCTACAGAAGATTTTCTCCGTGTCCTCCCGCCCCAATTCAACCTGATGCTATAGTCACATGGTTCATTCTGGCGTCGGCAGTTGAGGCACGACGGCTTCTCCTCTCCACTGCATGAAATTAGCTTCATCATCAACACCAAAACCCAATAACATGGTGCTATCCGTGAAGAGCGGTTTTAGTAGCAAAAGATGAGATGAGGGTATAGACAAACCATTTCACCTTTCGGGCTTTGCACGGCCTGGGAATTGTTAGTTTAAAGATTTATATCCAAGGTACTCCGCAAACTCACCAGCAGCCCTTACGGGATCGTCGTTTCGGCTCTGGCGCGCCGGGTCTTCTGGGGCGAGGCATGGAAGTTCACACCCGATCTGGCTGAGGGATTAAATCCGACAAACAGCAATCGCGACCACAGCGATAAATGGTCCGGAATCTGAGATGGTTCCGATCTACCTTGCAGAGTAAGATCGCCATACAGACCGAGACAGCGATCACGATCTAGACAAGAGACTGAAGAAGGCTTTTTTCCTGCGTGTAGGGCGTTTCACCCAAGACGATAAGAAACGATAATCGACAAGACACCCACACCCGTTGTTCGTACTCATCGGGGTGTGGGGAAGAATCCACGGTAATCTATGTGGTTTAACAGCAACCCTACTAGTCGATCGACGCCGTTGTAAACTGAAGTGTAGCCAAGAATTAGGGGGTATAGGGTGACGCTATTGTTGTCCAGGATAAGAAGCAAAAGCCAGCAAAATTTTAGGGACTTTTGGAGTGAAGAAGAAAGGAAAGGGAGGTGTGGAAGTAATCACCGAACCAAGATACATGCTACACGAGACGGGCGGAGAAGACAAGCCAGTCAACAGTCATGAAGCCCACCCGATAACCAGTCAGTGGGGGGGAGACCATCGGCCGTCTCCATCAATCAGACCGGCCTGATAAGCCAAGGCCCAGCTGGTCCGGGCGGCGGGTTTCTCCGGTTCGCGGCGGTCTGTCCAGTTCAGCTGCGCCCAGCTTTACCCCGTCAGGCTTAGCTGCCCCCGGTTACTAAGGCCTCCCCGGAATAGCCGGGCATCCTAGCCAGCTCTTTAGATCATTGCATTAGTGAGATCCCTATCTCTCTTATTCATTTCATGCCTCTTCGGCAGTGATTGCAAGCTTCCGGGTTGTAACCGAGTGTCGTCCTAATTAATTGAAACTCCTTCAGTTTCTACCTCTATCCCGCTTCCAGTATGGCGTCTTCTGGAACAATTCAGTCGCTTCAGCGGCAACATCCCCTGCAGCGCCTGTCCAGCCCGTCCAGAGGCTTCTCGGCCTTGGTTCATGTGAGCACTTCCCCGAGTCGGTCCCTCGTTCCTTGGGCTGATGTTTGTTCCCATGGCAGTCTCTAGGTCTAGCCAGCTTCTTCTTCTCGTTCAAGTAGTATGTTGAGTCCGTTACAGCTCGTGCTCCCCGTGCTCGGCCCGCCCACTAACCAGCTGTTCTCTAGCATGCACGAGAACCCCAATGTGGCGTAAGTATCCCATGTCCTTGCTCTGGGGTAACCAAAGATGTCATTGACCTTCATGGCAGTAATGAAGCATATGGTTGGCATTTCCAGTACCTGACGGTCATTGGGCTGACGCTGGCCACGCTCACCTTTACCGCCGGTCTGCTGGCGGATATGACGTTATCGGCTCGGCTATTTTTAGTCAAGAACCTTCTTTCTGTCTGCAGCGCTCCAATGGAAGTGTTGATCAGCATCCTATATTGGGGGATCCGTTTGGTAATTCATTTCTTCATGGACGATTGTAATTCCCCCTAACTGTTCAACAGATTGATAAGCGTCTGGTTGTTCCTGATTGGGTGATACTTCCCATGCATGCCGGTAAGTCGGACTCGTATCGCTTGAAGGAAGCTTGCTAATATTGCGACCAAGACGTCGGCTTCCATGCTATACCGTCTATCGTTCTACTGATTGACCTTCTTTTTCTTTCACCTCCTTGGACTATTACTGTTCTTCCTGCACTGGCTCTGTCCAGCACCATCGCTTTTGGATACTGGTTCTGGATCGAACGATGCTTCCAATACAATGGATGGTATGTCTTGTATTCGCTTCTATGGAAGTACAGCTCACTGACTGCACAGGTATCCTTACCCAATTTTTGAGGCTGTAGGATTCGAGGGTCGCATTGGACTCTTTGCCCTAAGCGCCGTTACAATGGCGCTAAGCACGGGAACTCTCAAATGGCTCTATGGCCGCGTGAACGGATACGGAACGAGCGCCAAAGCCCAGTCTCGCCCTGGAGCTATCAAAAGCAACGGCAATATTTAATCATACATCTTGAGTTGCAGAGTATAGCGGTGGGCCTACTCGATCTAGGCGAGATATAGTCAACACCACAGTATAGATGAGACGATATATACTACCAGCATATAACACTTCAGCCAATTGATTCGATATACACGAGATGTTCTTATTCCGGAATTATACTGTGCAACATTATGCATCATTTTCACCTATTAGGCTCGATACCCCGCAAAGCGTTCTGAACCCCGCACTCTTTAGCCGAGCTCATTCAACACCAAGAGCAAATTACATAACAGAAATAGTGCCTGCCAAACAATCAGCCTATACAACCTTCTTCAATTCTGGAAATTTCGGCCCCTCTTCATTCTGAAAACTACCCTGATCCCCTGGTAACGGTCTCAGTACGCTTCTTATTCAATGTCAAGATCGCAATCTTCATTTTCGGCCCTTATTTCACTCCCAGATCTACCGATCACAACCAGGCAGATTTCTCTTTTACATCGCACCACCAATTGGCTTGGTGATGGAAATGCAACATGGTGGGATAATCATTTGTACACCTAATCCTGACATGCAAATTCTTTATCCGCTTCACAGCGTTGTTGATTTGCTCAAACTTTGGCAATGCCTTGAACGTTGGAGTATAGAATAGTCCATGCCATATTATGTTGTACAGGCAAACGATCCATTAGCCATCATAGTGCTTGGTAAAAACCGAGAGCAGTAGATTTACTCTGTACTGCTATGTTTGACTAGTCATCTTGTCTAGCATGTTACTCCCCAATTGAGTATTTTCCTCAAGAGCCCAAGATCCTCCGATAGATCCTACCAAAAATGCTATAATCCGCCCAAATAATCTAACATATTACCCAAACTACATCCAAGGCAATTGCAGCCATTGAGCACACTCATCACTCCAAACAAGCACTGCCCCTGTATAGTCCATATTTACCGCGGCATCTCCCAATGAGGTCATGCCTCAGACCCGCTTACATAATCCCCAGCTTCACCCGCCGAACTTCAGAACGAATCAATCAAACCACCATCACCACAACATCCTACCACTCCCAACCCAACATCCATCCACCATGCACGCCCCCTCGATCAACGGGATGCGTACCGCTATGCTGAGCGGACGCCTCACCTCCAAGACGCTGGGCCCCTTCGCCCATCCCAGCAGCTGCACCAACCCGTTGTATCAAGCGCTCACTCAAGCCCGGACCGCAAGCACCAACTCCTCCTCCATGCGAGTCCGCAGCACCCACACCCTGAAGACCACTACAGCTCTGCGTCCCTCGACGACAACGCAGCTCCCCACCTCTCTGGTCCTCTGCCGCGCCAACTCCTCCTCCGCCGCCGCTGCCAAAAGCGAAGCCGTCCGTCTCGACTGGGACTCGTTCTTCAAGCTCCGCGCTAGCCGTCGCCGGTACTCGCTTGCCTCGTCGATCGTGAGCTCCCTGTTCACCACGGTCATTGGCGTGCAGGTTCTCTCGACGCAGGATCTGGAGTCCCTTGGCGCGCAGGTCATGGGTCTGGATCCGTTTGTGGTGCTGGGTATGGCGACGGCGGCGTGCGGTGCGGCGGGTTGGCTTGTTGGTCCGTTTGTGGGGAATGCTGTTTGGGGGTTGGTTTATCGGAGATATAAGCCTGCTGTTATGGTGGTAAGTTTCCTTCCTTCCTTGCTTGCTTAAGTTTATTCCTGAAGTTTGGAATGCTGATAATGGATTGTTTTGTGTAGAAAGAGAAGGAATTCTTCGATCGGATTAGACGCTTCCGTGTCGACCCGTCGTCCAACTCCATTGCTAACCCCGTGCCTGATTACTATGGTGAGAAGATCGGTAGTGTGCAGGGTTATCGCCAGTGGTTGAAGGATCAGCGGGCGTATAACCGCAAGAGACGTCATTTCATTGTTTAAAGTTAGTCAGTGGTTCTGTTTTGCATGGGATGCCTGTTTCTTTTGAGTGAGTGTTATTATGGCATTCTAGAGAACTGTGATTAAGTTCTCTTTTTTTTTCTCCTATTTGTACGAATATTCATATCAGTGAGCGATTTAAAATGATTATTGAATATGTTCACTTCTTCGCTATATCTATATCCTAGTCGTCTCCACTCTTACAGCTTTGACTTATACTCAACCTCCCCCCTCGGATCAATATCCATCTCCGCCCACCAAGGATAATTCCCCGGCCCATCCACATCCAAATCACACTTGAACTCGGGCTTCCTCTTCTCAAAGAACGCCCCAACACCCTCCTTCTGATCCCTACACCATCCACTCGTCAGCAATATTCCCCTACTACCCCCCAAAAACAAGATAAAAAAAAAAGACTTACTTAGAAGCAAACATATGACCCAAAACCCTCGACTCCAGCAAATGCGCCTCCTCGACACTCGCCGGCGCCCTCCACATCAACGCCCGATTCAACGCCCCGGCCATGGGACTCACCAGCTGAGCCATCTCACTCGCCAACTCCACCGCCCGCTTCATAACCCCTTCCTTAGTGGGAAATGTCTCGGCAAAGAGACCCCCGAAGTGCGGTGACGTGGGCGGGTACACTGCCCCCGTGGAGACGAGGTACATGGCGCGCGAGTACCCGATTAGTCGGGGGAGGAGGTAGCTGGAGCAGGATTCCATGGTGATGCCGCGGCGGGCGAAGACGAAGCCGTATTTGCTGGGGGTGTGGGCGATTCTATACCATTGTTAGGTTAGGACTTTGCGTAGGAGGGATCATGCTGAGGGGGGTTGGGGGGTGTGGACACACCGAATAGCAGCAGGAAGAGTCATGGTCATGCCGACTCCTACGGCGGAGCCTTGCATCGCGGCGATGGTGGGCTTGCGGCAGCGGTGGATGGAGAGGGCGACGCGGCCGCCACTGCAGTGATCCTCCCATAGTTAGTATTTGTTGGTGGTTATATATATATCAATAGTAGTTGTGTGTGTGTAGAAGTTTGTCCATGGACAGAAGTAAGTATAGAGGGTAAGTAGGTAGTATCCCACCTATCGCGATAATCACGCAAGTTCAACTTCTCCTTCCCCTTCTCGCCTACACTAAATCCAATTTCGAGATCTGCTCCAGCGCAGAATGTATCTCCGCTACCGGTCAGGATGATTACTTTCACGCGGGGATCGCGGTCCAGGGTGGTGAAGGCCCATTCGAGCTCTTGGGCCATGGTGGAGGTGAAGGCATTGCGTTTGTCGGGCCGGTTGAGAGTGATGATGATGACGGGGGTCGGGGAGGGGGTGTTGGGTGGGTGGTGGGAGAGTTTGATGTGGCTTGTTGGGTGGGATTCGTAGGATGGGGGGAGGGTGATGGACATGTTGATAATAGTTAACTATGGTTTATGATGAATTGTGTTGGTTGATGAGGATGGGATGATGGTTGGAGCTAATTGTTGAGATGGTACTGCTATTGAGTACTCCTCTTGTCTTGCTGTATTGCTTATATACTCTGATTTATTTGAAGTATGGGCATTTGCTCGGTTATCAGAGTTTGTTTACTAAACGCTATGGAAGTATGCAGGGGATGGACGATGGATGATGGCGCCGAGGTCCGGGTATTACTCCGTGGGTGTTGGTGAGTTTACCCCGCAGTTCTGGGAGATGAATTGTTGGTTCTGACATGAGGTTTGTTGCTGTGTCTAATTCAGTGTCGATTTACTATGAAATATCTAAGGCAGCTGTAGTTGTCAGATGTGTCAGATATTGTAATCATTTTTGACCAATGTGCGAATAGAGTTGGCGGATGTTGTAATCCGGTCCCCTTTGATGCCGAGGTATGCACCCTCGGGGGGCTAAAGCCTGACCCTCGCCTCCAGAGAGAGGATATCGGTCAAGGTGTCGGTTGGGAGGGCGTAAAGTTGTGGGATGAAGAGGTGAGGTCAAAATGGAGTGGAAAGGTACTATGGTGAGGAAGTGAGTTGAAGGTGAGGTGAGCGGGAAACACAAGTAAAGTACTAAGAGTATGTGATCATTCAAATGTAGAACTTGAACAAATGGGTGCTTTCAGCACAAGGCAATCTACACAGTCTACACCCTTCAGTTTCGGACAAGAGAGTCGAACTAACGACGCTATGGCGAAGCCTAAAGCCAAAGCTAAGACCGATCCCAAACGCAAGGCCGACGTCGATTCGGATGGATCTGACACTGAGTATACTACCAAAGTTTACGTAGCTGTGAATTAGAGCTTACAAGTGAATACAACCTTCTTACGTATCCTCCAGTAGATTGCCTAATATGATGTTCCTTTCCCATCACTCCTCCATGGCTGTTTCCTGGCCACCTTTACCTTCTTCCTGCCACCTGCCCTTTCCTTCCCAAGCTTCGCCCCCATTAGCCTCCTGTCGTTGAAGCCACACCCGTTTCGCCCTTTTGCTTGAACTTCCTCGCGGTATCCAGCAAAAGCTGGTGTCAGTTTTGTTGTGATGTCGACACTTACGCCCAACAAAATAGCCTCCAGGGGACCTGCAGACGAGCTCCTCGACCCAGAGCGGCGCAAAATCATTGCCCAGCTGTCCGTCTATGTCGGAAATCATAGTCTCCCTTCAACAGGATGGGCTCTCCTTTGGTTTGCAGATCTGGAAGTCCTGAAGGAGTATCTCAAAAACTGTGGAGCGTCGCGGTTGGGTCCGCATTCTGTGGCACATAACTTTACCCAAAGCAAGTGGCTTCACGACATGATAATGTTCTGTAAGTGATGTAACCGGTCATCCAAATAGGTACGAGCTAATGCAGCACTAGGGAAGTGCCGGCGTAGAAGCTCACTTGCTTCTGAAGAGGGCGCAGAAGAACCAGACATTGAAGGAACTCCAAAGAAGCGCCAGCGTACTACAGAAACCGCGTCCAGGATTCCCATCCTCGCTGGCAACACCCGTCCTACGGCAGAAGATCGTCAAGAAATAGCGAAACCATCGGCACGCCGTAGCAGATTAGCCAAGAAACTGGTGAGTTGAATTCACATACCGAACCAAACAAGATGGCCATGTCAGTTTCTAATCCCATATCGAAGTGTAAGGAACGAGACCAGAACGCTTGTATCCTCACCGGGTACCGTGAACCGCTAGAGGTTGCACATATTTTCCCCTACAGCCTCGGTCAGAGGAACAAGACGGAACTTGACTTATTCTGGGGAAGCTTGCAAACGTACTGGAGTGAAGAGAAGATAGCCAAATGGAAAGAACGGGTCTTAGGCCCTAGTGGCACGGAGACCTGTTCCAACTTGATGTGCTTGTCCAACCTCGCCCATAAACTCTGGGAAACAGCGCGATTTGCTCTAAATCCCTTGTCGATCAGCGAGGATGAGAAGGTTCTCAAGGTGAAATTTTTCTGGATGCCGATTAACAAGTTTTCTGACGCTATGTCGTCCAGAGATGTCCCGAGTCCTTTCCCCGATGGCTGCCGGTCCTCTATAAGGGTGGAAGGCCAACTAAATGCGAAGCTGTTCAACATTGAAACCGAGAAAGCCCTACGCTCTGGGGATATTCTCACTTTTAAGACTGACGACCCGGTCGGTCATCCTCTCCCGTCATTCGAACTGCTCAGTATGCATTGGGCGCTCCATAGAGTTCTTGCTCTCAGTGGTGCCGCCGACGTAACTGATGAAGAATTCGATCTCCGAGACCCCGATGCGCTGCAGGCCGAAGCCACGGATGAAGACAATGAGGAAGAAGTAGAGAGTGAAACGGAGGAAGACGACCCGGAGGAAGAATCGTGGGATGAAATGGTCGTGGAGAGCCACCGATTAAATTTCCCGAGCCGTGAAAATCGTCCGGCATCCACTCTACCCAGATCCAGACATGATGACCACAAGGATCAAGAGGAGCAGGCGGAGCCGGCGGACGCAGAAGGTTCCCCTGCTTTGGGATTCCGAGACACTAATGTCCATTAGACGGATCATCGGCGCCATGCTTGTCTCGTTAACAACTTAATGGATTGAGCCCACGATAGCCAACATCATCATTCTTATATTCCATGATGAATTCATTTGTTGAATTCAATCTCAAGATGAGGCAGGCAAATATCCAGTTGCTTACCCACTCTATCTCTTGTGTGTGGTCCTCCTGGTACGGGCAAAACGCGAACAATTGCTGCAGTGACTATGTTTGTTACGCAAGTCCTCTGCCGTGGGTCGGTGGGATTGGCCAAGTTGGCTATCCCAGTGCCGACTCGCACAGTAGACTCGTGTAGCAGGTGCTGCTGTAATGAGTCAGTCAGTTGACCGGCGCATTTGAAAATCTTCCTCCACCCGACGAAGCAGACCAATGTGATTCTGTTCCGGGCAGGTATTGCCCAGTATGTTATTGGCGACTGGGACTGGCTGGGCAGCAAGGTCTTCAAAAAGGACGCCGCCTGGTTTCAAGTACGGATGAGGCCGAACGTCTTGTGGGGATGAGATGTCGAGATGTCCAATTTCATATGACAGCATCCAACTACCCGCATTACTTCAGTGTAAGAGTATAGATACAACTTGTAAGAATCTTGGAGCCTATAGCCATCATTCCCCTGGTACTATTGAGCTCAGCCTCGGTATTGTTGAGGCGGGTGTATCTATCATTCCCTGTTGGATCATGAATGCGGTTCCGCTGACTTCGAACGCCCTCAATGGGAAGTTTACCATCGCACACGCACACTCATCGAAGGTCTGTGTGGTGCTCAGCACTTTCTTTGCTTTGCTCCATGCTTAAGCACTGGACGTGGGATGTTTCCATCCCAGGAATTTCGGTCAGAGTACTGCGATGCTATCTGTCTTCACCCTGCCACATGTTAAGGGACCAGTATCGACTTGCCTTGTCCTGCACATCATTTCCAGGGGTCTGCCTGACAATTATGCCACCCATATACTCCGTGCTCCATGTGTCACGGTCGCTTCGATCTGATACATACGTTCCCGTGTAGCCGATGACGATGATAATGATGGTGATAGTACTGTGGATTTTATTTAGAGAAGAAAATATGAAGACGTTTGTGCTGTAAGCTTGCTGTGATTATCCCTAGTTATATATACAATGAATATTGCTCAGGGACTAAGATGCGGGCTAGCGGCTGTTTTAATTCAAGAGACTAAATACAATGAATAATCCTCTTTATGAGATAATAAATACTATGAAGTATACTATATACTACGTATATAATATACTAGGCATACTAAGGATAACTGCGATGCCAAGAATAGTAATTATAATGATATAGATTAGCTAAAGGAAGAAAACAACAGCATGTAATATGAACAGACTCAGAACACACATCACTTCATCAGCTTACATTCACTATCATTTCAAGGTCATGTGACGGCTGTCACACTGACCTTCTAGCTTGGACCAGCTAATTACTTAACGAACTTGACAGGTCAAGAATCTTATTGTGATCGAGTCTGCAGGATAAACTCGATAATTGAAAGTGCAGGATAGTGATGGATGCACAGCACTGAAGTGGGTTCAATACGAGAACCGACTCCATCCAAAACCAAGATAATTGAGACAATGTAGTGGTGCTAAAACCACTTTGCCATCACACTAAATCAACTGTTTCATCGGCACTGCCCTGTTGATTGTGTCATGATGAGACTGCTCGGAGTATGCAAGGAAATCTGTCAATTATTTCCCCCACTTTGGATGTTTTTTCTACAATGTTCTTGTCTGCTCAATGCTCATCTTCTTCTGGCGGCGGACACCGTTTGGGGCTAAGCTTTTTCTGGGCAGGCTTTTTTTAGCCCGCGCGGGATGGAATTTCCCTCTCACTTTTGCTCCGAGACAATCAAGCAAGTGAAGCAAAGCAACTGACGAAGCAAGCAATCCGAGCTATTCTTATCGTCATCCTGTCTCTCCCTCTCCCTCTCCCCCTCTCTCAGCCAATTGACCTTCGGAAAATCCACAATGGCTGTTGACGCTATTCCCAACCCTGCACCTATTATCGAATCCCTACTCGGATAATGCCTTACGCAGCATGCGCTCAGCCCTGGCGCCCACCGCGTGATCGGCCAATGGGCCAACGCGATCCCAAAACTTGGCTACTCGGGCGTGGGTCAACTCGAAGGGTTTTGACCACCGCTCCACTGGCCCCGATAAACGAAAGAGCGGCCGGACTATCAGCTGGCCAGCAAATGACTAGAGCAAACTAAGCGATGGGCAGACCCTGAGGGCCCAGGGCTTCAAAAGCAGCAAGTCTCATCAACATGGCTCCAAGCTAACTCTTGCTAGTCCGCTGCTGGCTTATCTGCTGTCGCAATCCGGTCCTGCCTTTTGTTTTCCTTTTCCCTCTTTTCCTTTCCTTCCCTCTCTCCCCTCCATCCTCTCTCCTCCGTTCCCTCCTGATCGCGTCTGCCAACCAGTATGTGACCGATGGCTTTCAATCACTTCAACAGAAAGCAGAGGCTGCTTCTGTCCTCTTACGCCATCCTCTTTTTCTTCCTTATCATCATCTGCCACTTCCGGTCCGCCCGTGACCCAGGCTCATTCTTCTTCCAGCCCACCGAAGGCTATCGCCCGGGATACAGTCTGCAACGGATCCACGAATCGCTGGAGTGGCTGTCTGCCTTCAATCGTTCCGACAATATCCCGCCCCGTCCCGTCTCCCAAGTCAGCCCGCCACGGGAGAAGACCGCCTGTGTCGGCATCGTTACCGTGAAGCGTCCCCTGCAGCAGGACCTCGACACAACCGTTGCTTCGATTCTCGATACCCTCTCACCCGAGCAGCGAGCGGCGCTTACCGTCCAAGTGCTCTTCGCCCTGAGCAAACCCTCCGATCACCCAGATTACAATCAGACATGGTTATCGAATGTCGTTGACCACGTACTCACCTACGACGATGTCGACGCACCCGGGTATATCATTATGAACTTGGAGAAGAAGAATAATATAAAGAAGAAGTCTCTGATCGACTACCGGCTCGGGCTACAGGCATGCTACGACATGACCGACGCGCCGTGGATCATCATGCTGGAGGACGACGTGGTGGCCCAGCGCAATTGGTACGAGCACACCATGCGCAGCGTCCAGCAGGTAGAGGACTGGCGCCGGCACGATACAATCAAGGACTGGCTATACCTGCGGCTCTTCTACACGGAGAAGTTCCTCGGCTGGAACTCGGAGAATTGGCCCATCTACCTGTCCTGGAGTGTGCTGCTCGTCTCCCTCTGCGCCAGTGCAGGCATGTACACTCGGCGGAAGATCCGCGCTACCCAGGGCATCCTCACCAACTCGTTCCTGCTGGTAGTCTGCTTCTTCTGCGTGCCGCTACTGATCACCCTCTTCTTTCTGGCTGGTCGGGTTACCTGGTACCCGATGCAGGATGGGGTGCACGTGATGAACGCGCACGGCTGCTGCTCGCAGGCCCTTCTCTTCAATCGCGAGAACGTTCCAGCCCTCCTGGAGTACTTTGAGCACATGGAGGACGTGATCCCCACCAAGGCGGTGGACAGCGTGATCGAGATGCAGGCGGGGCGGGCCGAGCTGGACCGACTGGCCATCTCCCCGTCACAGATGCAGCATGTTGGAGCAGTTTCGTACAAGGAGAAGAAGAAGTCGTGGAAGTGGGAGGGGCCGTATCGCGTCAAGGGAGCGCACGGGGTCTGGAGTATGGGGTTTGAGCAGGCGTACGAGAAGGACATGGATCGATTATTCCAGATGGACGGTTCGGCATGATTATATACGCTGTATGCAGCAACGCATGGTATGGATGGGATGCACTGGTTTATGAACACGCATGACTGGATAAATGTTTATGGTGTGTATATATACATAATGGTTTCTTTGGTTTGTGAATAATAGAACTACTATACTTGCAGAATTGACTGTACATGGTTCTTGCTATCACTCATCCTCTTCTTACAGTTCTGAACAACAGCCCTCAGGGATAGTAGATATTCACACAGGGAAAGCATACTTTCTAACCAGTATATAAGTAATGCTGTTCCCCCCTCCCATTGCTTAATACACATTGCTTCACTAAACTATCTCATAGCTACAATCCTAATCTGTCAAATGCCGAAATACCAGCAACGATAAAGAATAGAGATAGATAGCCTCCCTGCGGGGAAATCCTAGACCTACTTGCTGCCCAACAACAGTAGTACATAGTAAAACAATTGATCGACTAAAAATAATATACTAGTATCCAAAAGGACAACTAGGAAGAATTTTCCACTGGGTTTCCATCAGTCGGCAAAAAGTTCTGGAATGAATTAAGGAAAATCATAATCCAAGGTAATATAGTACGTAGTATGGTAGAGTATAATAAAGGGAAAAAGTGGGGTCAAGTTAGATTAAGAAGTTTCCACTTTCAGGCATGGTTGGCGCCCATGAATGAGGTAAGAGGGATGAACTTAGTCTTCAAGGTAAGGCCCTAGAAGGAGAATAAATTGATGGAAGAACTGAAGAATAGAAGGATGGAAGATGTAATGTATGGCACCTGAGAAACAAAATTGGAAGAAGAGGGAAGGGAAAAACACCGTCTCGGTCATTCGGCCCCAAAAGCAGGACGTCATTTGATCAAAATCAAAGTCTTGGCTGCTCGTTCAGTCTTTTTTCTTTCCACTCAGTCTTTCTTCTCGCTCGCGGCCTTTGCCACTTTGGCGGCTCCTCAGCTCTCTCTCTTTTTTGTGTTGATCATTGCTGGGTTAGCTATTGCGTGCTTTCCCTTCCCACTCCTCTTCAAATTATCTTCTCATCTTCTCCTTCATTCTCTTGATTGAGAGGTCGCCTTCGCGTTGTTGTTGCGCCTTCGCAATCAATCGCATCCCATACTTCCCTTACTACTCACTCTGATCATCCACTCTCCCGATCGCATTCTCTCTCCGCCCTCCCCTTCCCCTCCACTCCCTCCCTGTTCGGCAACAATGGGCGGCGCTAGAAATATCTCCCACGGCCGTGGCGGCGCAGGTATGTTTGGCACTATCTCCCCCTCTGCCTCTCTGTCTCTCAGTATCCCTTTCTTTAAAAGACATAATATCACCTCTTCTAACGCGATATTGTTCTCCCCCACAGGCAACATCTTCTCCGGTCACAATGAATCCCGCACCACCCCAAAGGATCTCGTCACCCCCACCATCAAACAAGACATCTTCACCACCGGTCGCGGCGGCTCCGGTAACATGATGCACAATGATCCGGAACACCCCGAATTAGCCCGAGAAATGCAGGATGTGGAGTCGCCCCCATTGCGCATGGAAGAAGCGCCGCACTTTATGGGCCGAGGTAATTTCCCCTATACCTCCTATACTACCCCTTCGTCCGTGGTCGTGTCTTTCAAAACAATGAGCTAATCAATGGGTTGTAATGTTATCCAGGCGGCGCTGCAAACGCATATATCCCTTCCGCGGAAGAAGAAAAGCGCGTGCGCGAACAGGAAGAGGAGCAGTTGAGGCGTGTACGCACGCAGTCGAAGGATCGCAGGAAGGATGCTGAGACCGCCAGTGTCGCTGGTGAGGGTGCCGGTGCTGGTGGTGGGGGTGGTGAAGAACGAAATCCGTCCAGTTGACTAGCACATGTTTGGAGTTGAGGATGGGGTTGGATCTATTGCTGGGATGTCATTTCTGTCAGTTATTTCTGCTGGCAGAGATGGCATGGCAATGTATAGCATGGCGTGGTGAGGTAATGGGGAAGAGATAGTGAGTGAGGGAGAGTGAGCTGCGTCCTGTCGTTCACGCTAACTTACTATTCTCTTTATTTCTTCCCCTGCTCTGGCTGCGCTGTGCTTTTCTGCCTTTGACTCTTCTCCAAACGTGTGATTATTGTTGCATGCACCATATGTGTGTGCTTGTGTTTCTGCTCCTCTCTTTCGAGTGGACCGGACTGGACTGAACTGTACCGGATATCTGAGATGGATGGGATGAGAGCATCCCATCTATCTATACTTCGACTGACTGACGACCGACCGACCGATACCTGCACTACCTGCTCCCAACAATCCCCAAGCAGATCAGTGTGCAGGTGCAGGTAGTGCTCGACACCACCTACCTACCCCTCACTTACTCATCTCTCCATCTCTATACCCATCCCCTCAGATGGAGAGATCCCTTCCTCATCTTCCCTTCCCATCATATTCCATTCCCTCCTATTCGATCTGGATCTGTTTTATTTTAAGTGTTTTTTGAAGAATACCCATGTAGTAAAGAAACCCGGACGTGGGGAAAAAGAACGGCGCGAGGGTCGGATTTTGTCGTTTCATTTCATTTCATTTCAATTCATATTTGTGATTGCTGTTGCGTTTGGACTGGGGGTATTATTTTTCATTTTTCAAGTATAATATGTGTCTCTCTCTGTGTATGTTTTCAGTATTATAATCATTTGTTCTCATTTCCACTCATTTATTTTCTATTACAAAGGTTGGGCAGGGCACACCGGGGCCCTTTTGTAGTGGTTGTTAGCACTATTATTACTAGTAGTGAGATCTCCAATGAAATCCCGGGGGCTTATCTATGGGGAGGGCTGCATATTGCTTTTTTCTGGCCTTGTTTCTTTAGTGGTCATTACTTGGGGTATTATTATTATTACTTTGGGTTCTGCTAATTCTGTCTATTGCCGAGGTAGATAGTGTAGATCGTGTATGAATCTATAATCCGAATAAAATGTATGTATGCATAGCTTGCTCTGAAATAGAAATGCAATACCAATCAAGTACTCCGTATATTGCTTATGAGGTATCATCCATCTCATGCCAAGTGAGTATGTGTCCCATGCGATCATGCCATAGATAGTTGTAGGTGGTGTAGATGTCCAGCACCCTGGTTCAGTTTGCGCTGTCGAGTGATTGGCGGTCGGATCTCCTCTCCTTCATGTCCATCGACTAACCAACTAGATTCCACTAGTTGGTCGCATTTGTCTTTCTTCGTTGTGGTGTTCACTCCGCTCCGCTCTTAGTGCTTATTCCCGGTCGGCCTCCCCAAATGTCACTTCCCGTCATGTCCTGGTCTTCTTTCTATTACAGTTCACTGCATGACTCCCTCTTCTTCAAGACTGCATGAATTCTGTGTAGGTCACTCATGGTAGAGCCTGGCCCACGGATGGTAAGGGTGTTCCCGCCTGCTTTAAGGTATGTCGACGGGCAGCGTGCACGCTGCACGCGTCTCTCAAGGATGGTCATGGTGACCACACAATGTACTCTCCAGCGCGCAGATGCATCCATATTCGGTGTCTGAAATGAACAACGCGCACTGGAGAATGGAAAAAAAAGGTACTTATACATCTCGTCCATGAACCGTCTCAGACTGGAGGAATATAGCATCCTGTCGCGTCCACCACCCAACTGATTGAGTCTTTCCAGTCTGCACCCAGGCGCTGGCCGATCTCCCGGATCAGTCGCGCTCCCCACTCGCCCATCCACCAATGTCCTCGCAACGAGTGGATAATCACCGCGTAATGGGCCAAGATGGCTAACGCAAAGGGCTGTCTCTGCTGCAGCAAATCCAGGTATCGCGGCGGGATCTGGAAGATCCACTGGAAGGCAATAATCATGGTTTCTCCGCCCCGGGCCAGCTTGTCCAGCGAGTAGCTCAGGTACCGGATCGTCGTGTCATACGTGTCCTTATCATGGGCGGGATCGCGGCTGGCTAGGTCCGCGTTCATTCGGGTCAGCGACATGATGGCCAGCCGAGACGTGTCGGGCATGGTTGGCTGCGAGGTGTCGCACTCGAGAAGCGGGCTGAACTCGCCATCCGCGACCCAATTGATAATTCCTCCTTGGACGTCCACCGACCCGCGTGTGAACCGAAATATGTTGAGAAGCTCATTCAGGACGTCCCCGAGTTTGTTCGTCGTCCGAGGGAGGGCGAAGGAAAAGACCACCATGATACTGGACAGAGCAAAAGCGGCATTGCAGTTGGATTGATCCAGACGCCCCGCGATCTTGCTGAGACCGGTCACAGCCCGGGACTGGTGTGCCTGGGCGGTTCGGATGTAATAGTCTTTGGGCGGACCGGAGGGGCAGTTGAAGCCCAGATCCAGGGCGGAGAGAGCCAAGATGCCGTGCATCAAGAATGGGTGGCGCATGGCTTCCCTTGGCACTACGCCCTGCCAGATTCCTTCTACCGAGGTATTTCGCGAAACCGAGCGGTATGTGGTCGTGCACCATTGCATCATCAACTCGAGGTCTTGAATGTTCAGCTCCCCGGTGGGAGTGGAAGGGGCAACAGGGTCCATGACGACGCGGTATTCAGCGAAAATCCTGGGGTTCACGTGGGAAGGGGAGGCGGTGCGGGATGGGGGAAGGGTCGGGGTGGTGGAGCGAGACTTGACCCTAGGCCAGACCAAGGAGGTGGAGGAGGGAATATATTGACATATTATGTTGTCGCTGGTGCAATGGGAGCACTGGGGGTGTTCGTTGGGGCACTGCATCCCGGTTCGATTAGCATCTATGAGGGCGACACAGGACTACCAGTCCCGATTTGAAGAACCACAGAAAAGTGGTGTGGTGTAATAATTCAGGGGAGGGGGGTGGTGGAAAGTAGCAAAGGTCCCGGTCCACAGCGGTAATCAAACAAGCAGATAAAGCTCCACTGATAGGTACATATCTAAAAGTAGGAGGGAGAAGTGGAGGGAGGAGACAGGGAAGGGAAAGGGATCACTGCATCATTCAGGCATCCAGGCACCCAGGCAATGATGAGGGAGGAGGGAATTGGGGGTAAGGGAGAAGGGAGAATAATAGAAGAGAGAAAATTAAAAAAAGAGGGAAAATGTAAGAAGAAGAACAGCAGCAGTAGAAGAAGGGAAAATGGATGGAAACTTTAGTGGACCAAACAACCAAGAAAATAGCAGGCCAGGCCAGGCAACTTAAGTTAAGCTTCACCGGGACTAAAACCCCAAGAGCACCTACCTTGATTCGCCGGTTCCTGCACTCAAAACAGCCATTCCGCGCCGGGGCTCTGTAAGTGCGCCGTGCAGGCATTGCTGGGGACTTTTTTCTTTCTTGGGGATTATATTATTATTTTCCCCTGTCGTGTTCTTTTGTTCCTTCTGTCCAGGTTCTGGGTGAAGGAGCAGAGGATGCCGGGGAGGGTTGAAGGGAGGGAGGGGGGGAGGTTTCCCAGCAGGCGCAAGGTGGAAACAGAAGCGTCAAGGATGGAAGGGAGGAGGGGGGATGTTTCATAGGAAGTGTAAAAAGAAGGAAAAATAAATATGAAAAACAGTCCCTTTAATCAAACAAGCAAGAAGCCGTGATCCCCTCCAACTGTTTACAGCTCAACTTTCAACAACACCTTCTTGGCCGGGGTGGATAGTTGGAGATCCATGGGGTTTAATATCCAAACAAACAACCGACTCCCCATGCTTTTTGAAGAGAAGGAGAGAGAGAGGGAGACGGAGAGAAACTAAAGAGGTTTTGGCCTCTTTTCCGGGAGAAGGTTCCAAAACCCGCTCATCGAGACCACCTTCAATTCCACAACCCACTTTTTCCCTCCACCACCCAAGCACTTTTCCAACAATAATTCCAAAGTTGTCCAAAGCTAGCCGATAGATCGCTGCCCCACTTCCGTTGTCTTTGCACGGAGGCAGTAAGAGCGCGAATCCCCGATGGCATGGATTGGAGGGATTGGATGGAACTGGATGGCTCTGGCCTTCCCCAAAAGACGAAACCAGTAAATGCGGGCAAAAAAATAAAAAAAAGGATTTGTGGTGTTTAATGCAGCGCTACGAAGGGCTCGGCGCCCCAACCGCCGTAGCAACAGAAGGGAAAGAGACAGAGACAGGATGATGCATCATGCGGTCGAATGGGCAAATGGTCATCTTGGTCATCTTGGGTCGCGGTGTACTGAACCCTGGATCATCGTTGCCTCTTTCTTTCTGTCTTTTGTCTGTCATGACCCAGCTCGCTGATGACTTGCCATCTTGAGAGGATGATCATTTATTAAAGATGTACGACTGTACAATTCTTAGTTTAAAAAAAGAAATAAAACTAAGCAAGTACCATGCATGGCCAATGTTCATCCTACTTTACATGGTATACCGTCTGAGATCTTCTACCTGGGAATGGAAAACGAGAGAGAAAAAGGAAAAAGAGGGTTAACTGTTCACTACTAGATATTACTTACTATCTAATACCAACAACTCACTAGTACTGATTTAGTCGAATTTAGTGGTGTGCTTTTCTTCCCCCATCCTTGACATGCCCCACCGGCCACCAGCCCAATTGACCCAATCAGGAATAAGCAGTCACACCCCCTGAAGCATCCCCCCCGTTTACCCTACAATAATCTACTGACTATTAATGGAACTAAAGTGTAGTTTATCCCAGATCTTCCCCCGAAACTGAATAAGAAGCACCGGTCCATCCCGGAACTGATGGACATCCGTTCCCGAATGGAGAATAGAGATGGAGGGATGGACATAGAGGCGGGGGGGGAGAAAAACAAGAACAAGAAAAAAAAGATTGATGCTTAAACCCCGACAAGCCAGCAATGAATCTCTCTCGTCATGCCGTCTTGGGACAAAGCCGGGATCCACACCACATCCACTTGCAGCCAAAAAACCTAAAAGTCAAATCCCCATCTTCGGCTCCTGGCCCTTTGCCTATCGTGGCTTAGTGCTAGGCCTCCATGAACCCTGCTTTTGCTGTTTTGGGCAACTCAGATTCTTGGGGGCTTATCAGTGTTTTCATTGGCCTGCTATCCTCCCGCCTTGCCGGATCTGGCATAAGGGGTGCGGGCCCGTGACTCTCCCGCCGCCCGGGGCTGCCTCAGGCCTGATCCGATGGTTCGTTACTCACCATTGGACTGTTGTTGCTTTTGTAGCTACAACTGTACACCTACACTACTACCCTCACTAGACAGCTAGTGTCTCAATCCCTCCTCCTTCTCCATCCACGTTGTGTCTCTGTTGCATGGCATCCGTGTCTCACATCTCCGAATATCGCCTTCGGCTCCGGAATCATGAGACGCTTGACCCAATGATGTCAGCCAGAACTCCAATCCTCTCATAGCTAGCTAGCTATGGTTCGATCACGACCATTCTGAATCAGTCAATCCATCAAGCGATAATACCCCGCTTAAGAGGGGCGAGCCGTTGCCGGTGACGGAGGAGTTACTGATCTTCCCGCTTGTTCTTTTGCTCTCTCAAAGAAACTCGATGGAATGAGCACGGTGGCACCATGGCGTAACTTTCCGTGGATGATGGACCCCGGCTGCGACAAAGCCTCTTCCGCAGCCTCTCCCACACCCACGCCTTCCCAGCAGCATCACACATAGGCATCCCACCAATCGTCCGTGACGTTGCCCTCGCTGTCCAATGATCAAGCTCAGCCCACAGTGCGAGGTGCATGCATCCTACAGCTAGCCATACCTCGGACTAAAAGCCCGACCGTTCCGCCCGGCGCTTTTGCGCCATATCGCGCGTGTGAGTAATCCTCGAGCTCCAGCTGGAATAAACCAGGCTAGCTAGGATCGCGATACCACTATACTAGTCCCATCTACATCTCGGCCGGCGGAGGTAACCGGCCTCACCGTTGGTACCGCGATCATAAAGGCGGCCAGTGGGTCCCTCTGATTTTCGCCGGGGGAACGGATTCACCCTAACCGCGCCAACGGGCTAATCTAGGTTGGATCAGAAGAAACGACCGCTGTTGGGGCCAAGGCCCTCAACAGCGGGCCGGGCTGAAGCCATGGGTGGATTTCAGATCACAGACCTCTTCACTGAATCTTCTGGTAGGATTCTCCATGCGCCCAGATGCGCCTGAGGGTCGGCCGCTTTGACTCGAATAGGCATGGCGCTAGCAAAAAGTCGCGCGCGTTGGATATCGGATTGGACCATACTGGTGAGCAGATGCTGCTGATTAGCCAGCACATCAGATACACCGTCTCCGCAAATCCTTCTCTTCCTGCAAGACGTCATCGTCATTCCCGACTGGGAAAATGCAGACCTTGCTTCTATATGAATCCTCTCCATCCCGCAACTTGTCTGTTATCTTGGACCACTCAATGTTAAACGAACTGGCCACTCTGCTGACCAACGACGGGACATGGTGCCATGAACCTGTTGGACCTGGCTGCCTATCCGGGACGCTTGTTCCATGCTCGATGGCTTAGCACTGTATCGAGCCCACAGTTGCAGCGCTTAGGAGGGGCTGCATGGGCCCTTGACAAGGCATCAGCAAGTTGATTCGCCCAGAATCCTGGGAATACTTCGGTTAGAGATTGGACATGTTGGAATTTCGTCAGACCACTTGGGTCAGCTGGGCCCGAGATACGCCGAACCGAAGAAGCAGATGTGTACAGAGTGTGCGACTTGGAGGTCACTACGTTTGTTTCTCGACTGGCACAGCATACGGAGTCGCCGTGATGAATTGAGATGACGCTTTGCCCATAGTGGGGTTTCGGTCTGTCTGAAGACTGGACAGAAGCTATCGAAAAATTGAAGGGCGAAGGTCCTTGAAGGAATCGTACGTCTGCATCCGATGCCTCCGCTGACGGATCACTCTACGCAGTTTGCTGCGTTATGGACAGCCTCCAAATTCGCCCCATTTCAAGCCCAACCGGGAACTAGGCAGTTGCTCAGTAGATTAAGCGTTGGAAGTCTGAAATCCAGGTTGCAACCATTAGCATCAGAGTTATCCACAAGCTGCAAAGAGACTTCTCATACGTAGATTTCCTCACATGACACTACACTACTAAACTTGCTGTTACATTGCTTGCCTGACAGCATGCTAGGATTGCACTCGAAATGCAGGCCGTGCTCAACAGTCACAACACAGGTCATCCACTTACTAACCAGAAAAGTCTTGTCAGCCAGCGATGTTGAACAGCAACATGAGCCTATCACATCTCAATATACCTACAATCCGCCCACGTTTTCTTGAATACGTAGCATATCGACGTGTAAGCTACAACTTCAGCTTATCATCAAAAGACACAAAACCTGCAACACAAGCTCGCTGTCAGTCAGAAACGTCATATGTCAGGCAATAGACCAATTTTTATCGACTTCGCAACTATAAATACCACTTGCTAACCATGACGTGACCCAGCGTCCATTCATTGCCTCCACTTACTTGCTCAACCACCATTATCATCTCCCTGGAACCCTCTGTCTACTATGTGAACTAAATAATGACCCAACCCACTACATAGTCCCATTGAACTTGCCCCTTTACTTCTTCCACAAATAAGTAAGTGCATATCTGGCTTTGTTTGTGGAGTATCTCTCTAGTAGTGGCATTGATAATCAGAATTGTGACGTAGTGTATATATACTATATATATTTATAAAATACGTTCGGAAAGCAAATTTAGTAAGTTTTGACACCACAGGAATAACATTCATTCATGCAGTATAGTTGCGGCATGGTAACGAATAGTCGTAGACAAATATACATACACTCTGACTATATATAACTACTAGACTACTAGTATTAGTAGTACTAGAGTCCATGTACATTGTGCATACTTCAATCATTTATGTCTTTAGTTGATATTAGAAGGTGTTTGTCTAACACTTACTATCCCTAACCATCAATATATATATATGCACTTAGTCGCGCATTCCTGCATATTATTCATAGCCCTAGCGAGGGACAACAATGCATGGATCAATTCCGACAAGTGCTCTCTGATTCCAAATCTAAACTCCAAAAATCTAACCTATGTACAATACGCCCAAAATGCAATGTATATATATATATACCAAACCCATTAAGCGACTGAATCAACAACCCACCCACTGATCCGCCCCCTGCAGCGCCATCAACGCAAAATGACTTCCCAGTGCCGGCCTCGCTCGAAACGCAAAGTACTCACCGGCCTCACCAGTCGTACTATCTTGTACCCAGTAACGGTCCGAGAAGGGTACATCGTTGAGACCATTAGCAATATAGGCATGGATATCGGTGATGAACATGTCCCTTGCATCATCGGTGACCGTTGCCGCCACGAAGCCCTGCCAGTTCGTTTGGCCCCAGTCGAAGTTAGCGTCGAGGGCTACGCCAGCTGGTTTGCGGACTGTGGGGTAGAAGGCTGTGGTGGCGTTATATGCTTCTTCGGGGAAGAGGCCAAAAGAGAATAAAACGTCCGCGTAGTGGTTGTACGCGAGGAACCAGGAGTCGTTGTCGTACTGGGTGGTGAAGTAGGTTCCATTGGGGTCTGTGCCGAGACGGCCGTTATAGAGGGCGTCAGCGATGGATTTGCCTGCGTCGGTGTAGTTTTGCTGCGAGGTTAGGTGGCCGTAGGAGGCGAGGCCGCTGGCTGCTTTCATGGCGAGGTTGGTTTGGTTGGCGACCTTGCCTAGGGCGTCGTTGAGGGAGAGTTGTGCGTCGGGGTATTTCCCGTTGATGCTTAGGTATTGAGCGTATTTCTGCAGAAGGGGGGAGTAGGTGCTTGTGATGTTGGTTGTGTTGGTTGCGCTTTCGTAGGCGTAGGTCATGATGAGGATGTTTCCGCTCTCTTCGACGGGCATGAACTCTCCCTTGGGGCTGTGGCCGGTGGCGTTGGGGTAGTCCATCCCGATGTCGTGCACGGCAAAGTCGTAGGTGTAGTTGGTTTGGTCCATGTATTCGAATACGGGTTTTAGGAGGAGGCGGATGTAGTCGGAGTTTAGGACGTAGAAGACTGGGAAGGATGCGTAGATAACGTCGACGGTGTTGATGTTTCCATCGCTGGATATCTCTTTGATGAAGGCCATGGTGTCGTTGGTGTTTAGTGTGTCATTTGGGATTGTGAGTTCCATGCCACCGTAGATTTGGCGGAGAGATAACGCAAGTATATCGGAGTAGTTAGTGCCGGATGATGATTCTCCGCCCTTTTGAATGAACTCGTCCATGTTCATTGACTCATTGAGCGCGTCCGAGTAGTCGTCAAGGAAATACGAGACGGCGGATGTAGTGTTTGGGTAGATTGCTCGGTAGTACCCAGTTTGCGTATTACCAAGGTAGTTAATGGTTTGCTCGCGCACATGGCCTATGGCGAAAGTGATCGAAGTATTCTTCGTACTCGTTTCTAACTCGTGCGCAAATGCGACAACACCGTCAGATGTCCAGTTTGCGTAAGAATTGCCCAGTGATCCATTGGTTACAAATTGAGAGCGGATCGCAGACAACGGCCCCGAGGCAGAAGAGAGAACGCTTCCATTTTGAGCCCGCGTGGCATAAACCGTCTGACCCCAAAGCGCTTGCTCTTGAGAGTTTTGCGAGAACAAGGCCTCTTCCACGGGACTCAGCTGAAAGACTGAAGTTTTGTTGGCTTCTGAGAAAGCCCAAGTGGCGTTATCCGGTTGACCGGTCCAGGACGAATCAATGTCAGAGTAGATCTGGACAGAGTCGTTGTTCGATATGCCACTAACTGATATTGTGAGGTAAGAAAAGGGCAGAGACTGGCGTAGATAATTTGTTGGGGAGACAGGCGAAAAGAAGTCGAGGGTGAAATTTTTCGACCCGGCTGTCAGCAGAAAAGTGCTGTGTGTCGAGGTGAAATTGCCATCTCTGACAGTAGCAGCCTGGATGCCTTCTAATTTCTCACAGACCCCGAAAAGACTGTACGCCTGACCATTTACACGAGCAATGACAGACCAGGTGAGGTTATTCCCAAACCAAAACTGAGGTGAACTAGAGGGAAGACTCGATGCCTGATATCCGGGAAGCCAAGCTGTACACGTCAGTATGCGTTTATTCTACATGATCAAGCAATGCAAATCAAGATTGAACTTCAAAGCAGAGGCTGGACTAACAAGACAGATAGGGACTGCGAACAGCAAGTGGATAAGCCGGCGGCAGGAGAGGAGCAAAAGAAGCAGACACGACAACCTGAAGAAGAGCGCATCCCCAGGTCCATAGGAGACATGATTCCCCAAAGCACCTCATGATCTACAAGGATAAAGGTAGAAAGAGATGAAGGGGTATGTGCTATACAATAATGTCGCCGCTCACCTGTGGCAGCATGCGGACCCCTCTAGGGAGTCCGGCATTCAAGTACTCTCCCCTTCATTGTCTCCCACTGCACAATTCCATTCAGGAACATACTTTTCTTGGAAGGAGTGGGTCATAAGAATTGCTGCTCTGGTAGGCTTGAATTCTAGCAAGAGAGTGATAAGGGCCTGGTACCAATTCATGGCTAGCATTCGTTCTCGTCCATAGTTCGGCATGTAAAGGCAGCAGCCCAGCCAAGCGGCGACCAATCGTGGTGGTGGACCTGAGACTTACCCCTGGGTCCTGAATCCCATTATTCAGCCCTGAGACGGGCCCGGCAGATCGCATCTTTCAGATCGTAGATCATCGTCGACGTTTCCTGTCAATCTGTCGCCGTCCTCGGCTCGCTCTAGGCCGGCCCCGGGCTCTCACATTCTTCAAACAAGGTCACTACCCCCGCATTCCAGATGTTCACAACCCGCTACAATCCTGTTTCCAGGCCAAGTCACTCAGTGAAGTATACCTTCTCTGCCGATTTTTCTCCTTGCAAGTTGGAAGACCCTTGAGATGGTTTTCCATGGCTGATCGTGGGGCTCCCGGGTCGGGTTCATCGCTGGGTCGTCCCTGATTCCACGATCTACCCATCCTCGGAATAGAGAAGCGGGAGATGAATCTTCTCGAAGGCCCAGGGCTGCATTCAAAGGGGGACCAGGGGCACATTCAGGGCGAGATATGGTCGAGTAAAGACTGGGCTGCAGAGGAGCTACCTAAGGGAGCATTCTGCCAAGGTTCGTCCTCAGAAGCAAACCTTGTCTTCTGCATCGGCACGCGGGCACGTGTGATCCTATGTTATGCTTAAGTTTGTGAGATAGCATCCCTGCAGAGTCTCGTTAGCACCAAAGCTTATTCCTGCAACTTCATCGTCCGCCTTCCTTCCAAGGGTCGAACGACAAAATGTAGCTTCTGTCGACGCCTTTCGTTTCTACGCAACAATGGACCCCCTGGCACCTTTGATGAAGCCAAGTATTTGCCACCATGGAACCGCCTGAATGTGGCTACATGCCATTGGTATCAGACTTGCGGAGGGGTTTGGAAGACCTTTGTCACCGCAGGGTTGGTCTGGCCCCGACCCTGGATACATATGATCCCTTGCCTGTGACACCAGGGAATGTTTACGGGATATGGGTGAAATGAAGCGACCGAGGGGCTTACCACATCCTGGCCAGGTCATCACAGGCTGCCGGATAGCTGCAGGCCAGGATGGGCATTCCTCGTTGCTTGATCCATCGCGTTGCAGGAGTCAGTGACTTCATTCTTAGTCACGGTGCAACCATGTCCGACAAACCGGTTGATGTTCTCAGTCAAATAGGCTCTTATTTCGTAGCGCTATTAGAGTTTCGATTTGAGTGAGAGCTTATGCAGATCCGGCGAGCAGGAAGAGGATGACAAGCTGTCGCTCAAGAAAAGTACATGCATATAGTTTGGTTAGTAGTGTGAGCTTTGGTCCATGTGTCTGTCACACGGGTAAGGCGTAAGGATCTTCCAAATGCCTGCCTTCTATGGATTCTCTTGCAGGTGAGTTTGACTGCTTCTGATTGAGGAGCAACGCGTCTGTGCAAGAAAAGTGGTTTGATGACTAGGGAGTCACATCCAAAAAGCATTTCCTCTTCTACTATGTTATCCGTACTCGTAGTAGCTGGATCCACAGAAAATATGAAGAGCTTTTTGGTCTTGTTATTTATGTCAGAATCTTCATTAAACTGTATAAATCCGCTGTGGCAATGGTTTCCACACTATCTGTAATATCTCATTTGATCAGAGTATTTGTAATGCCTTAAAGTATGCCATGCAGGTGAGACGGAGCATGACCGGCCGGCAGTACTGCGGATAAATCAACCGCATCCCCCATCCAGTAAGTGCAGTGAGTGATTGTTAGTAGTGGCAAGTGGCCGGGTACCAATGCAGCGTCTGTTTACCGATCCACCGGTGCCCGCACCCGATAAAAAATTGCTGGATTTTATCTCCTAGCGAGGGCCTTTTCCAGTTCCCCGGCAGCGCATCGGTGCAACAACCACGGTGATCATCCGTCTACGGGCGATTGGTTTGCTTGCCCCTCCAATCACCATCTCACCTCCCCTGAGTCAGGGAATGTAAGATAGTGAGATCTAAATCGATTATTGGTTGAATGTAAAGTCTCCAGAGGGCAGAGAGATCGGAAGTCTCACACAGTTCAGCTCCCAGCGGCACAAAGTGGATGGTGCACCGGTGGGATTTTTCCTTGCCGATGGGGTCCGTCTTGACTGAAAACGGAACGGTTGGAGTTTGATTCCCTGCCGCCTAAACCCGGAACGGCGACCGCAGCCCTTCAATCCGACCCAATGCTGAGGATCCCTGCACTGGATTGGCTGAAACAGGAGCAATGGCTCCACACTTGTGCACATCTCGGCCGGGGTGGTTGCCGCAGTTGGCCAATTTAGGTAGAGGAGACTCCAGCTGGCTGCATCTTCTTTTCGTTGCATTTATGCGCTCGACCCACTCCTATGGTGACAGCAAAGGCCTGCTGAATGAAAATTGTAAATAGAATTTTTGGGGAGGATGGAACACAAGCTGAACTGTGATGGGGTACCATTCGTTACGATGACGAGATGGAGGGGAAAACCTATTAATTTGTGATCTAATTTTTTTTCTCACTTTATTGGCAGGAAATACCTACAGACAAAGAAGAGTCAGAAAAAAGATAAACAGCAATCAAAAGGAAAACATGGGGGAGAATAGATGGATCACATAGAAAAAGAAAGGTAAATAGCAAACAAAGGACAGGTGCGGGAAAAATCCAGCGGGAGTTGCTGGGCCAAAAAAGTAGTTGCTGAACCCGACCGTCTGGGTCGCGAGGTTCCTGCGCCGGGTTGATCGCCTCCTGATCCGTGACGCTACGACCAAAGGAAGGAAAGAGGAAAAAGAGAGCAGGGCAAGCCCCGAGGGTTGGCCAGCTAAGCCCGTTAGCCCAATCCTTCTGCTCCCCAAATCCCAGGAATTGCCGGGGCTTGCTGGCACTGCTGGGGACTGGCTCCCTCTCTCTAACCTCCCCCCGGAGATCCGTGGGCTGGCTTGCCTTTTCCCTTCAATTTGCGTTCTATGGAAATCCTTATCCAGCAGCAGACAACTGACTCCATACTTTAAGATTGGAATAGTATGTTTCCCTGGATATACTAGAATTGTTTATTGTTTATCATATTTCATTCTTATGGAATCGACAAGACCAGCGCCCGTAGGATAATGTAGCTAGTAGTAGTAGTAGTAATGAGTAGCTACTCATAGGCGACCAGACGTAGAGACCGCAAATGAGCTCATCTCCTCCCAAACTTAAGGTTCTGGACCTCGAGAGCTGCCCGTGACTCGCGCACCTTCTGCTTTCGTCCCCTCCTCGGCTGCTCCAATCTTTTCTGCTGTCCGCACCAACTCTCCGTCTTCCCTCTTCACTTTCAGCCCGCCCTCTTTCGCAACCCCGCCTTTTTTTCTTCCCTTCTCTTCCTCCTCCCTCCAGTCTATCTTCTGGTCTGTCTTGTTCTAGTTTCGGGTTGGCTTGCAGCTTCATAGCCGCCAATCATTTAGCACTGCGGGTTCCTGTCCTTGTGCTACCTCCCAGGATAAAGCGGTCATCATTGGGGAACCTGTGGTCCTGCGGCCGATCCGTGGAAGGCTCAGCGATTCTCCCGCATTTTGACAGCTCGTCGCTGCGCCTTACCCAGAGTTCAATCCTCACTTCACGAGCTTCAACGTCTACACTGTGCACCATCCGCCGAACGACGCGTGTACATTCATCCGGTTCCCTTTTGCAGGACTGCCATAGGAGCCTGTGTCGTTGCCCGAATCTTGACTCGTGATAAGATTGGGTTTGCCTGTCGCGAGTCTTGCTGCTGCAATTTCGGGTATTCACCCCGCCACCACTTCCTCGACTTTCGCCTTCATCCAACGTGATGAGCGTCATGTACGCTCTGGACGATCGCACACATACCGCACCGCCTCCCCCGCCGCCGCTCTCGATGGATCGTATTCCACCCCCCTCCTCCTCATACCCCACTCCGGGCTCTGCAGGCGTCGCGTCTGCCGGCGGGTTACCGCCGTCAAGCCATCTAGCGCCGCTCTCCACCGTTCATGAAAATCGCATTTGGTCTTTGCAGGTGGTTCAGCAGCCGGTTCGCGCCCGGATGTGTGGCTTCGGCGATAAGGTTGGTCTTGCACTGCTCTTGTTCCCGCCTTTCCTATAGGTAGCTGACTGTAGCTCAGGATCGCCGGCCAATTACACCTCCTCCCTGCATTCGCCTGGTTGTCCGAGATGCTCAGACTGAAAAGGAGATTGACATTAAGTATGACGGCATCAAATATCGCTCTGCCGAGGAATGGTGCTGACCGGCCACTCTAGTGAGATCGATACGTCCTTTTACGTGCTCATGGTCGACCTGTGGAACGCGGAGGGGACCAGCGAGGTAAATCTCGTCAAGCACTCCGCCACTTCTCCCTCGATATCGACGGCCATGTCCTCCTCATACCCCCCTCCGCCGCATAGTGTCTCGCCTTCCTACCCGCCCTACGCGCAGAATGCCTACGGCCAGCCTGTTGGATACCCTCAGATGAACAATTACTACGGTGGCAACCCCCAACTACAGTACCAGAACCCGTATGGAGCGAATCCACAAGCACCCTATTATCAGCCTTACTATGCCGGCGGCCACATGCCGCAGGCCAATATTTCCCCGGCGCAGCCTGTGGCCTCTGGCCCTGGCGGCATGTTCACGCGGAACCTCATCGGCAGTCTCAGCGCCAGCGCGTTCCGCTTGACCGACCCGGAAAACAAGATCGGAGTGTGGTTTATCCTGCAGGACCTGAGTGTCCGCACAGAGGGCTCTTTCCGGTGAGTGCAGTTCTCTGAGCTGGTCGTGTTTTGTGATGTACTAATTCATTCCTGCAGTCTGAAAATGAGCTTTGTGAATGTGGGCAGCCAGTCCGGTGATTCCCCCAACGGGGTATCTGTGATTAACCACGGCTCTGCGCCAGTGTTGGCCTCTGTGTTCTCGGAGCCGTTCCACGTGTTTTCGGCCAAGAAGTTCCCCGGTGTCATTGAGAGCACACCGCTGAGCAAATGCTTTGCCCTCCAAGGGATTAAGATTCCCATCCGCAAGGACGGAGTGAAGGGATCTCGCGGGCGCCACAGCGACGGAGACGACGCCGGGGATGATTACGACTAAACCAGGGTTATTTGCTAATTCGGGATACCAATGGGCGATGTTTTGTGTTTTTGGTTACTTTTTGCTTTCACGTTCTTATATATATACGGGTCAGGTTGGACGCGGGGTTTGGTTCTGCGGTGTTGGTGATGGGCTCTTTCAAACAGGATGGGGGTGTATTGTTACTATCTGGGCCGGTGTCACAGGGTTCTTCGGGTTCTCCTGAATCTTCTTTCTTCTTGCTACGTGATCTTCGATTAATGCTGCCTTGCTTTCGATTCGTGTGACTTGCTTTATATGAAGTGATGGTTTCGCGCCTGGTTCTACGGTCCCGCGCACAACGGTTAGAGGCGAAAATGATCTCATCTTATGGGGACTGTACTGTATTGCATTACCCTAGGAGAATGTATGAATGATAGCCTGATCACAGTAATCCATTGCTTTTGTGCTCTGTTCGCAATTCCATCACCTCCGACTAGGTTAAAGTTCTGTCCGGACAAGCGCAGAGACTCGACTAGAACTCGACCGGACGAACCATCGTTCAACCGAGACCAGGTCGCCTCTTCCAGCTCGTATTGACTGTGGCGGTGCGCACCGTCGACGATGACGTCGATCGGCCAGGTGCTTCCATGGGAGAAGTGGCGGGCGTCGGAAAAAGGCGGCTTCGAAGCTCTGGCAATCTTCAGCAGAAAACCTTCGCAAGGGATGATGCAGGGTTTGGAGTAAGTAAGATCGGGCTTGTCCGACCGACCAAAAAAAGAGCGAGAGAGTAAGTAAGTCAGAATTGGGGCATCGGATCTTCGGGTTCCGGGACCCTGACTAGTGACTACTTACTTTGTCCATAGCAAACTGCTAGTTTACTGGACGGACCTTGTTTTTCCCTAAACTTCTGACATTGATTGGAGATGATCGTCGTTCTATAATTAAACGGTCGCCAACGGGGGCCCATCAACCTTTTCGCTTCCTTCTACTTTGTTTCTTTCCCTTGCCGTGTCTCGGAGCAACAACTGAGACAGGTCGTTTAAACCGGCACGTCATGAGCTCATGAATTCCCCAGTTTTTTTCCTTCAATTGAGCCACTCTGCATGGCTGGTGAGGGTCATCGTCTCCATGCGGTTTCACTTTAGTGCACTGAACTAGGAGATAGTAAGTGGGAGCCCTCTTCTGATAGGTTTAGGGTCTGTTATTCTCTGACGGCTCGTGCCGCTTCTTCCTTACGGTTTTTGGGCTGTGTGGCAGGGTTGGGTTGGGGATGGATTGCTGGAGGCGATGTTGTTGCTATCCATAGTGCACCGTAGTGCCTTCGTTGTGTTTCTTGTGATGGAGAGAGGGCCCTTGCTCGACTGGCCATTCTGATTCCTTTCCCACTCCACTTAGTTTCTCTAATAGTAACCGGTTGACCTCATAGTCTGTTCATCGTAGGATATAAATACGGCTTTAGATCCTGCTTTGTTTTTTTCTTTTCCCTTCAGTACTACTCCAAAGACATTCGTTCTCAACCACTTGATTGATAACTTTCATACCAAACCATCTACTTCTTCTCTAAATCACTATCATCTTTAATCAACTACCATCAAAATGAAGTTCACCCTCGCTTCCACCCTCCTCCCCCTCCTGGCCGCCGCTGCCCCCGCCCAGCAGCGCGACTCCAACTCTTCTACTCCCTCTACCTTCGGCATCATGTCCGCCCGCTCTGGCTCCCCCATCCACCTCCTCCCCTTGAACGCCAACAGCGGCGGTTTCTACCTGGGCGGAAACACCTCTTCTTACTGCCCCATCTCTTCCGGCTGCCCCGCTGGTACTGAGACCGTTTTTGCTGGTGATGGCTCTGCTTTGGTACGTCCGATCATCCCCCCCAATCATACATAAAGTAGTATACATTATATACTAATGAAATAATGAATAAACAGGACGTCGAAGTCCCCGGCGGCCAACAAGTCTACGTCGCCCCCAGCGGTGCCCTGACCTTCACCGTCCCTCACTCGGCCTACATCCCCGCTGGCTCTTCCACCGGCCCCTTCAAGTACACCCCCGGCAAGCCCTTCGGCACCTGGACTTTCACCGGTGCCGGTGCCACGGGCTTCATGGCTTGCCCTGACGAGGGTAACAAGTGGCAGGTCTTCGCTTCTACGAAGAATGCTACCGTGCCCAGTGGCAATGTTGCTGATTGCTTGGGCTTTGATGCCCTGGCTGTTGCTACTAATGGTTCGGTTGCTGCTTGGGAGTATATCTAAGCTGGTAGTAGTACTTTCTGGTAGTGCTAGTGTGCTAGTGTGGGGTAGAAGGGGGGATGGGGTATATAGTTGTGGTGATGTGTATATAGAGTGAAATAGTAGGGGTTGTGGTTGTGGTTTGTGTTTATTTATTAATGGTTGTTTTGTATATGTATGTATGTTAATGTCTTTCAATGATTTGTTGATGTTGTGATCCAATTATTGTTATTTGTTTAATTATTTGGTGGGAGTAGTTTTATTATGATATTGTTAGTCATAACAGTGTCATGCGTTCTATAATATAGTACGAAGTATAAGTGTAGAGAGCTTATGGGTATGGTAGTAGTATGGTTAATTCCTCCATATCCGCACCGCCTTGTCCTTCCCCCCACTTCCCACCTTCTGTCCATCCGGACTCCAATCTACCGCAAACACCTCGTCCTTGTGGCCCGGCAGATCCTCTTGCAACTTGCCTGTCCGCACATTCCATACTTTCAGTGTCGTGTCCTTGGACGACGAGACTAGCAGCCGGGAATCAGCCGAGAAGCAGCACTGGTACACGGCGCCCACGTGGCCGCGGAGTGTCGTGATGAATCTATCGTTTATTAGTAATTTGTATATCATTTTCGAGGCTGTGGTAAACTCACTTTCCGTCACGCGCGTTCCATAGCTTAACGTGGTTGTCGAATCCCGCCGACGCAATGTACGCCATGTCCGGCGAGAACGTCACATGGTTCACCTCCTTCTGGTGTCCCAGCAGTCGCGCAACGGGCTTGCTGGAATTCCCAGGTTCCCACAGGTACATGGTGAAGTCGTCACTCGCTGACACAAGCTTCTCGACAATCTTGTTGTTGATGGTCGCCGCCTGCTCGAACCGCTGCTTGGCTGCCGCGATCTTCTCGGCATCCGCCTGCGGCACCTTGCCGGTGTGGTCGTGGTAGGCAGTGCGGAGGACAAAATCGGTAGACAGGGCCAAATGGTTAACGCGGTGGGCGTGCGCAGAAAGGGTCTGGATTAGGGTGCCGTTCTGAGCATTCCACACCTTGATAGTCTTGTCGTGAGATGCAGTGTAGATATTTCCGGTTCCGCCCCAGCGGACGCAGGTCACCGAGCCCTTGTGCCCGGTGAGGACGGTGTCGATGCGCTTCGAGACCACGTCCCATATGCGGACCGTCGAGTCCTTGGATGCGGACGCCAGGCGCGGCCGGCCGGGCTGCTGGAGATGGTATGGCTCCCAGGCCAGACTGGTGATCCATTTGGCGTGTCCCTTCAAGGGCGCGCCCAATGGGGTGCCCTTCTTTGCGTCCCAGAAGCGCACGGTGTTGTCCATGCTTCCCGTCGCAATCATGGCGCCGTTAGGCGAGTAGCTGACCGCCAGCACCCAGCTGGTATGTCCCTTCAAGGTGTGCAGAGGCGTTCCAGTGTCGCAATCCCAGACGCGAGCTGTGGAGTCACCGCTGCCGGTGACCATTGTGGATGAGTTGACAGGGGAGAAGCTGGTCGCAAGAATTGCCTCGCCGTGTCCGGCGATCGAGGCGGAGCATCGCGAGACGGCCTTGACGCGGAACACAGCCTGGGGAGTGAAGTAAAGATGTACGGTATCTTCGGTCGTCTTCAAGCCGGGCTTCAAGAGGGAATGATACAGGTCGGAGAGGATATCGATTGTCTGGTCGTTCTTGTCTTTGCCATCGGATTGGTATGTGAACCGGTACGGTACTCGCTCATCTTCTTCCTGCGGCGCAAGAACCAATTAGTCTCTGTATATGTTGAACAATGCCTCGCAGCATACCTACATTGCCTTGTAACGTATTCAACAGAGTCTCGAGATTCTTCACACTGGCATCAGCGACTGGAACGGACACCGCCGGCCCGGTCGCAGATCCCGTCGCCTGGTCGAAGAATTGCACACGAATGCTACCCAAATTCTCTGGGATACTCTGGATCTCCTGTTGCTGACGGGCCCGCTCAGCGGTCTCCGTCCTCTGACGCTTCGACGGGGGAGGTAGAAGAGTCGCCATTGTGCCGCTCTTTGTTGGATGGTTTTGGTCGTTGAAGATTTTCGCCGAAAAAAAGATAAAAGATAGCCGTCGCTATCGCGGGGAGTCTATCGCCGCTAGTCCGCTTTCGGACGGCAGCTCTACTATATCCTGCATCATTCGCTACCATATCCTGGTGCTCTTTTCCTGACCACCAATACGCAAAATGTCGGCTTCATTTGTTCGGAGTTCCTCCATTGGAGCTGCTAGCTCTGTTGCTCCCTTTTCCAGAAACAGCACATTCCCCAGAACTACGCCGAGGCCGACGACAACGGCAACAAGCGTTGCATCCCAGGACATCATCTGCGCCGTCAGTGAGTCCAGAGGCATCTCTTCCACAGTTGGCCTTGCTTTTATCAATCTAGCTACTGCAGAGACCGTTCTGTGTCAGATATGTGATAGCCAGACGTACGTCAAAACGGTCACGAAGATCGGGGTATTCGAACCGACTGAGATACTGTTCGCAACCTCTGCCAAAGAATCCAAATTGTTCTACATCATACAAGAGAATATCCAAGATACTACGCTTACCTTTATAGATCGCAAGTTCTGGTCGGAGAGAGCTGGCCATGATTATGTAGACCGACTCGCCTTTTCCGGGGATGTGGAACCCATCAAGATCGTCCTGGGAGGGAACTATTATGCTGCTTGCTGTTTTGCTGCGGTGAGCACTACAACCGTCTGGCTAACCCGACTAATTTATGTAGGTATTGAAGTATGTCGAGCTGGAGCTGAGCAGAACCTTTACCTGTCACTCGCTTCGTATCAGGTTTGAGCCTTCTCAGGGATCCATGTCAATTGATCTATCCACCATTGTCTCCTTGGAGTTGATCCAGAATATACACAATGCGAAATCGAAGGATAGTCTCTACGGACTGCTCAATGAGACCCTGACACCTATGGGTGCAAGGCTTCTCCGAGCTAACATTCTTCAGCCTTCAACAGAAGAACCCAAGCTGCAAGCACGATACGACGCTGTCGAGGATCTGTCTACTAAGGAAGACATGTTTATCTCGGTGAGACAAGGTTCGCCTATAATCCCGCTATATACGACTTAGTCTTACCATATCAAACGTAGCTCTCAAGGGCTTTGTTGATGCGGACAAGGTCCTTACTTCTGTACGTGGATTCGATCATTTCTGATAGCGTGGCTGACGATCCAGCTTATTCTTGTGCCCAACAAACGTGCCTTCCAATATGTTGAGCAGTCCGTCAACAATGTTATAATGGTCAAGACATATGTTGGGGCAATCAAGTCAGTCTACAAGGCACTTACGGCAGCTGAGAGCAGTCTTTTAACAACCATAAGAGAAGTAAGCGTATGCTGGTGCCGTCCTAATGTAGCTAATGAATATACAGCTATGTGCCCCGGCAGGCCACCGGGCTGTCCAGCAGATGATTGAAGAAACCCTCAACGAGCATGTCACATACCAGACACGTCCACTTGATCTCAGGAACCAGCGCATCTACTGTGTCCGGGTAAGTCCCTCATGCAAGTTCCTCTGCAAGCCTGACATAGTTTCTCTAGGCTGGGGTGAACAGCCTTCTCGACGTCGCTCGACAGACATACAAAGAAGCTAATACAGATGCCGCGGATCTGGTAGCAGAGCTAGCAGGTCTGTACATTGATTTCGAGGCTGCTCATATCTAACATTTGTAGAAACGCACAGTATAGCCCTTGATCTGAAGTTCGACAGAGCTCGCCAATACTACATTAGTCTCCCAGCTACAGCAATCGAATCCTTGCCAGACGTCTTCATCAACGTCTATCGCAGAAAGAACCGTACAGGGTGTCAAACACTAGATCTCGTCAAGCTCAATCAGAAGATCACAGATGCACACAATGAAGTCATCAACATGAGCGACGAAACCGTGCAGGAATTGATCCACGACATCTGCTCAGAGATCTCAGGACTCTTCAAAGTAAGCGAAGCTATTGCCATGCTTGACATGCTAGCAGCATTCGCCCAACTAGCAATATCGCACGACTACATCCGGCCTGAACTGACAGACACTCTCGCAATCAAATCCGGACGTCATCCAATCCGCGAGAAGATACACACGAAGAAATTCATCCCCAATGACGCCTACGCAACACAACAATCTCGCTTCCAGATCATCACAGGCTGCAACATGAGCGGAAAATCTACCTACATCCGCGCCCTAGCGCTGATGACCGTAATGGCACAAATAGGCTGTTTCATCCCCGCAGAATACGCATCATTCCCCATCGTCCACCAACTATTCGCACGTGTCTCCACATCCGACGACCTCGAAGCAAACGTATCAACTTTCGCCGCCGAAATGCGCGAAATGGCCTTCATCCTCCGCAACATCGAACCGCGCAGCATGGTCATCGTCGACGAACTAGGTCGCGGCACCAGCACAACAGACGGCCTCGCCATAGCAATCGCCATCGCAGAAGCCCTCGTAGAAAGCCACGCATTAGTCTGGTTCGTGACCCATTTCCGGGATCTCGCACTGATAATGGGCGAGCGCAATGGGGTCGTGAGCCTCCATCTCGCAGCCGAAGTATCCCCCGATGCTTCGAAGATGACCATGCTCTACAAGATAGCCGAAGGCCCCGATACGAACCAATTCTACGGCCTCGCCCTAGCAAAACTCGTAGATCTCCCCCCAGGTGTCCTCGAAACCGCCCAGCAGGTATCAGAGAAACTCAACCAGCTCGCTAAACGCCGACACAGCAAGTCCAAAGCCCTGGCAGTGACTCGTAGACGGAATTTGATCCTCTCACTTAAAGAACAACTCCTTCTAGTCCGCAACGGAACTATGGAAGGCGAGACCCTTCGGAAATGGTTGAAGCGACTCCAGGATGACTTCGCCTTGAGTATGGCTGCTATCGACGAGGACGCGGCCTGTGCCAGCGATGAAGATGCACCGGTACCCAGGGGAGTCTATGAGGACACTAGTTCTACCGGGAACCTTCTTTTCGATGATGAGTGCCTTGAGGTCCATCATAGCTCTGAACTAGGAGAACCCTTTGCGCAGACTGCTGGAGATCACCTCGACATTTCTGAGTCAGAGGACCCGCTCAACGACTCTAGTTACTGTATATCACGACCATTCGCTCCTCCCACGGATGTTTTTGAAGAAGATATAGATGGACTTGCCGCGTCACGTTCTGAGCATGACGATGATGATTCTACAACTGACGAGC